TTCTGAAGATACAAATTTGTGTTGTGGTGTTTAAAATTATGGCACCTTTTTGTTATTTTTTGCCATAAAACAATGCTCTAAATGCCAAGATGTTTATTTTGAATTTGGAAGAAATGTCATCAGTAGTTTACAGAATAATGCAAAAATTACATTTGACTTCAGTGCACTATACACTCACCGGCCACTTTATTAGGTACACCTGTCCAACTGATTGTTAACGCAAAACTATAATCAGCCAATCACAAGGCAGCAACTTAATGCAATTGGGCATGTAGAGATGGTCAAGGTGATCTGCTGTTCAAACCGAGCATCAGAATGAAGAAGAAAGGTGATTTAAGTGACTCTGAACATGGAATAGTTGTTGGTGCCAGGCTGGTCTGAGTATTTCAGAAACTGCTGATCTACTGGGATTTTCACGCACAGCCATCTCTAGGGTTTACAGAGGATGGTCTGAAAATTAGAAAATATCCAGTGAGCGGCAGAAGTGCAAATGCCTTGTTGATGCTAGAGGTCAGAGGAGAATGGCCAGACTCTTGAGCTGATAGAAATGCAACAGTAACTGAAATAAGCGCTCATTACAAATGAAGTGTGCAGAAGACCATCTCTGAACGAACAACACCTCCAACCTTGAAGCGGATGGGCTACAGCAGCAGAAGACAACACCAAGTGCCACTCCTGTCAGCTAAGAACAGGAAACTGAGGCTACAATTCCCACAGGCTCACCAAAATTGGACGATAGAAGATTGGAAAAACGTTGCCTGGCCTGATGAGTTTTTGTTTCTGCTGCAACATTCAGATGGTAGGGTCAGAATTTGGCGTCAACATGAAAGCATGGATCCATCCTGCCTTGTAGCAGTGCCACGAAGCATTAAGGGAGTTCTGAAGGCAAAAGTGGGTCTAACCCGGTACTAATAAGGTGTGCGTATTAAAGTGGCCAGTGAGTGTAAATCATAAATACGAAAAACGGAGAATCATCATGTGGTGTCTCAATATTTACATAAACGCATATATATTTCAGCTGCGGTGAATATTCAGCAGTAGGAGCGCGAAATGATCTTAAAGCAATTCTGTAATGCCCATTCATTCCCTCTAAAGTCAATGCTAGATTTATAAATGCATAAATCGCACATTTTCTTACACACGCACACAGTGTCACAATATGTCACATCTTTCTTTATTAACTTTTGTAAATGGTCTGAGCTGGTGTGCAGGGTAAATGGTCTATACATATCTTCATATCAGAATGAATCTGAATAAAAGGCTTGTATACATATTCAATGTCCGTGTTTCCTTTTTCCGTTACAATAAAAAACAAAAGAAACGAAAACATGTTGAAATAGCTACAAAGCCTTTACATTCCCCATGACATGGGTATGTTCGTATTACTGGAATCTAACTAATATACTTAAAGTACATCCATAACAACTCTAATAAGGGTGCATAGCATTCTAATTAAATATAGTTTGTCATATATTTATACATATATTCTTTATTAAAAACATCTTTTTTTTCTGTGCATGTGCGCAGTTGCATTCCTTAGTACAGAGTAATATGATATTGCGTTTATATTGTCATTAATCCATTCTAAAGGAGTATAGGTGAAGTCTAGATTTTTGCAACAGTTAAACATTGTACATAAACTCTTCTTTTAATACATAATGATTGCAATGTTAAACCGTTTCGATCCTTTAACCAAACAATAATAATACAAATAAATAAATCTCTTCCTTTCCCCCTTTGTTTTCAGGAAATGTGTGTCTTATTCAACAATTACAGCAGCGATAATATATCGAACATGTATCCATGGCATGTTCTTCATGCTGAGGTCACTTCCCTTCCCCACTTCCCAACACCCCGACGTTCCTTAAGCCCAAAGTATACTTCACTTTTTACAGGTACACTACAGTATGCATAGTGTGTTGTGAAGCACGTTTCATCATGGGCAAAGAATGCATGTATGGTATTTTTGCAACAACATACTCCCAGCTCACTTATGCACTTTGAATAGTTGTTGTACTACTTAGATTGTCCACTAGGTGTCAAAACTGGTGAGGGGACAAAATACTGTAAATGGCAAAAACAACAGATGCCCAGGTATATTAATGCATTCGTGAGGTAAACAAAATATATCCGCAACTCTAAAGATGTACAAAGAAAATCTCATCGGGCAACATTTTGAAAGAACAAAAACAGACACTGGATAAAGATGAGTAATTTGGTCCGATCCCAAATGGCACTAAAAAGTCAACTATTTAGGTCTTTCTAGAGCGCATTTATCGAGTCCCTGTGAACACACATAATCAATTGATGCATACTTTGGCCCAAACTCAAATTGCATTCTAAATCCTCAAGGTCCAAACTTTCATGATATAAATCGCTTTGATTGTGAAGATTTCTCTGCAGAGCATAGATCTCAAACTCGATTCCTAGAGGGCCGCAGCTCTGCACAGTTTTGCTCCAACTCTAATCAAACACAGCTGATCCAACTAATCAAAGTGATCAAGACTACTAGAGACTATAAAGCAGGTGTGAGTTGGAGGTTGTTGGAGGTAAACTATGCAAAGCTGCGGCCCTCCAGCAATTGAGTTTGAGATTATTGCAGTAGAAACTTGGAGAAGTGTGCTTCAAGGGCTAATTTTGTGGACTTAACCCAAAGGTGTCCATACTCTGTCATAGAGGGCCGATGTCCTGCTTATTTTAGTTCCACCCCAATTTAACACACCTGAACCAGCAAATTAAGCTCTTTCTAGGTGTACGTTTCTCAACCAAGTTTCTGGAGGACCACCAACACTACATGTTTTGAATGTCTTCTTTGCCTGTCACACCCAATACAGGTCTTTCAGTCTCTGCTGATGAGCTGACGATCTGAAAAATGGAAAATATGCAGAGCTGGTGGTCTTCTAGGAACATGGTTGAGAAACACTGTACAAAAACCTTCCAGGCACATGTGTTAAAGGAAGTTGGAGCAAAACTGTGCAGGACACTGACCCTTTAGGACCATGACTTAACCAATGCGTCAATGTGGCAGCCATTTTAAGTTTGCTAGCCGGCAATTGCACATCAGGTGTGCCATTTAGGATCGTGTCTCAGTGTGGTTTTGGTAAAAGTGAACATTGATGGTGGCCACAAAGCATTCTTCTGAAAGTTAAATCTATACACACATGCTCATGGAAGCCACTGTAAGTTTGCTAGTCAAGTCCAATTATCTGAAGGTAAACATAATGATATAGTCTTCCAAGAGTGCACATGAAGACTGGCATTTGGGATCAGGCCTCTCTAGAGCACATGTTTAAGTGCCTGTGAACATGCACAAAATCCTATGGAGCATACTTAGGCCATATATCAAATGGCACATTAAACCCTTGTGGTTTTCCTCTCAGCACACACTACTTTGGACATAATGTGGCCTTGGCAAAATGCGCATCAAGGATGGCCACAAAGGACTAACAAGCACACTTCTGAAGATTAAAATGATGAACAGAACAGACTTATAAACCCAATAGACCAGTGTTTGCACAAGTGCACATTACGGATTGGGTCTTAGTCTGGTCTAGGTAAAAGTATACATTGAGGGTGCATAGTGGCCACAAAGGCGACGTATGCAAACATCCTCTTGAAAGTTAAAACTACTAATGTGACAACCTATGGTCTTGTGGACTCAACAGACACATGCACATAGTAAGTTCGCTAATCCACAAGTACACTTATCTGAAGGTTAAAATAACGCTATGGTCTTCCAAGTGTGCAAGAGTACAAGAGCACCTGAACAGTGCCATTTGGGATCAGGCTTTTCTAGAGCACGTTTTAAGTGCCTGTGAACATGCACAAAATCCTATGAAGTATACTTAGGCCATGTCCCAAAGGGCACATTAAACCCTTGTGGGTTTCCTCTCAGTACACAATACCTTGGACATAATGCAGTTTTGAATGTTGGGTAGAAATTTGGCCTTGGTGGAATTGCGCATCAAGGGTGACCACAAAGGACTATTAAGCACACTTCTGAAGGGTAAAATGATGAACAGGACAGAATTATGGTCCCAACAGACAAGAATCTGCACAAGTGCACATTAGGGATTGAGTCTTAGTATGGTCTAGGTAAAAGTGTACATTGAGGGTGCATAGTGTCCACAAAGGGGACATATGCAAGCATACTTCTGAAAGTTGAGAATGTTGGTTGAAATATAGTCTTGGCGATAATGTGCATCAAGGGTGGCTACAAAGGAGCACACTTCTGAAGAGTAAAATGATGAACATTGGCAGACCTATGAACCCAATATTCCAGTGTTTGCACAAATGCACATTAAAGATTGGGTCTTAGTATGGTCTAGGTCACTGTAGTATGCAATGTTCAGTTCCAACCCCTACCAGACACACCTGGGCAAGCTAATCAAGCTCTTACTGGGCTTTCTGGAAACACCCGTGCAGGTATTTTGAGGCAAGTTGGAGCTAAAATTTACAGGACACCGGCCCTCCAGGACTGAGTTTGGGCAACCCTGGTCTAAGTAAGAGTGTACATTGAGGATGCATAGTGTTCACAAAGGGGATGTACCGGTATACATGCATCCTTCTAAAAGCTAAGATAATGAATGAGAATCTATAGTCTTGAGAACTTCATGGACACACACATAATGGCTGTTGTACAGTAAGTCTGCCAAACCACAAGTGCACATAAAAGTGTGCCATTTAGGATTGGGCCTTTCTAATATGCATATGTTAAGTGCCTGTGATTGCAAACACTATGGAGTATACTTTGACCCGACCGGGAGGCCACATGAGAATTCCTCTAAAAGCTAAAATAATGCATGGGCCCTTTATAGGCTGTGCGTTTAATTTTGTACATACAATAATGTACGCATACAAAAAACAAAGTATACTTTAGGCTTTAGACTCCTTTGAATGGACACCGAATTGACTGCTAAGTATGCATTAACTAGAATCATGGAAGAGAAATCATCCGTCAACCCAAACCTGAGTGAACTGTAAAAAACAATATACAGTGAGGCAGAATGAGGGTTTTAATGTGTTGGTGAGAAGGGACGTGTGCAGTCTCACAAAGCACACCATTTAATTAACTAAACAAAAACACTAGGTTCTGATTAAACGTTTCTTTTTTAAATACGAAAGTACAATCATTGTCATTCGTCCAATTGTCCATGCATTCCTTAAATATTTTTCATCTGGAGGACAGGTTTATTCAGTCATTCACAAAGTCAGTCATTCACAGAGTCATTCATTCATTGACATCCCTCAACTTAAACTACACGAATGCGTGAGCCAGTATATCACGGTGTGCTCATGACTATGTAAGCTACTGTGCTGAGATTAAATGCTGAGCACCGTACCTGATATCATTATGCTGTTCAAAGAAACCTTGTCCATTAAAGTGAAACAGCTACTGTTCAGTGAACTCAAGTTGGCATGTAGATCATGTAATTGCATACGGTGTGAGATACTCATGCATGCTGTTATACCTCTTGAATCGTATACGTCTTACAAATGCTACTAAAATGACGGGTTAATACAGTATATACTGAACACACAAACGCTCTTAGACGGAAAAACACGCGCACACATACCGACAACAACGCAGTATTCCAACTGTTGCAGCACGTTTGATATTATTGCTTTGGTAGACTATACTTCAAGAGTTTTTGTGTATGTTTGGGCTCTTTCATAGTGAAAATAAAAAGGGTAACGGTGAAAGAAACGCATGCGAATGATGTTAATTGGGAATGAAATTGCAATAAAACACTTTAAGCTTTCCATAGTTACCTTGTTGGTATGTGTTGGTACTGGTAAAAGTGAGACATTTGAAGCCAAAAAGTAAGACAGACAGTTGTGAGTTCACAGTTCAGGGGTCAATTTTAAGGTGGACTTTCACAGTGCTGTCTGTATATTTATCTGTCTTTTTTAACTGTACATCTAAACGAAAAAGAAAAAGAGAATAAACGAAGAGCATCATCAAAATACTTACTACGCATAACTCCAGCTGAAATCCCAAACATTACAAAGGCAGTTACTCAGAGATAGTCCCCAAGCCCCAAAAGTCACCGCTACAATCATGTTTTTTTCACCAGCACAGCTTGAGTAATAATATAAAATAATAAATAAACGTCTGGGCCCAGTGTGGGCCCAAGAGAACAGCATGAAAAGCAGTGTTAACCAGCATGCAATGCTACATTAGTCTCTGGAAAACGGTCCGGCATGGCGGTTTTAGGAGAGCAGCTGAGCTACAAATGTGGATGAATGAATGGCTGGAAGGTCGGAGGTTAGAGTCGTGAACTGTCAGACATATAAAGCATGTGCCCTCCATTTTGGGTGTTGTACATACAAAGCTACGCAACCTCCAACAAACAAATCAGTTTGGATTTGAACAGAAGGGGGCCTTTAAATTCAAAACCAGAGATATAAAAGCAAAATGGCTGACAGTTCAAAGGAACACGGATACGCTTCACAAAGTGGAAATAAAAGCACGCGGACGCTCACGAGCAGGAGAGCACAGGGCCCTGTTGTCATTCCCATGGCGAACACCAAATGAGCTCTGACCGATCCAGAAAAAAAAGCTCAGTACCAAGCCAGAAGCAAGTACACATGCGTTAGATACCAACACACACGCACACACACCGACGCACATTCACGTAGCATTAGAGTGCATATATCACATTGAATAACAGGATAAAGGGCCTGTGGGAAATGACGAGACGGGCTTAGCATCCACTATGCTGCTGTGTAATGTCAATCTGTTAAACAAAATAAAGAACTGTTGCTTTTTTTGGGCTGTTTTGTTTCCGAGACCTCTTTTTTTATGAGTCAGGGTAAAAGGTCCAAAGGTTTCCCCTCATGGAACGGCCCTTTACCTTGTACCCCTTCAGTTTTTTAGATAATGACAGCTCATAGGTCATGCACCAGCAGTCAGTCATGCGTTTACAGTTGACAGGAAGCACTTTTGTTGCTTTTTTTGTTGGTGTTTTTCTTCACATTTTGTACAAAAAGTTCATGCCCTATGCTAGTAATACGTTTTTTTTTTCTTCAGTTAAAAATGTTACAAAACTACAGGTAGAGAACTCCTTCTCCTTGTTGTTTTCTGGTAACCCTCTGTGGTTGCTTGACTGTTGGATTTGGCTGCGATGTGTTTTTCTTTCGCTGCATGTTGTTTTTTCCCCCCATCGCTCTGTGTCTAGTCCGATCTCCCAGTCGTGCGTAGGTGAAGGATGATTTGGCAGTGGATGTTCGACCCTGAAGATGCAACAAATAGGTCCTTCAAAGTGGAAATGCCACATCAGTTTAGCAAAACTGGAGTTTAAGTATTACATCAATCTTTTTACCTGTCCCGTACCTTCAGGACAGTTTGTGTTTTGTTTCAGTGCTTTACTCTCCGCAGACTGGAACGCTTCACGGTCTGGACATCCTTTTTCACATCCACACCCAACTGGAGAAAAGAAGGATGGGGTCAAATTGACTGAATCATTGCGTTCAACAACAACAACTACACAAAACACTATTACAAATCGGAAAGAAAAGAGATTACCTACCTTGGTCACAACATTCCCATGCTCATCAGTGAACTGCTCTTCATGTAGAAGATCACTGCTGAGATCTACTGGATCATCCTTCTGCAAGGAGAAAATATTGCTTGCATTAATTATCATTATGGAATAACTCAAGTCAAGACCGTGTCCAAAACATGCTCTTTGCTCAGACTGGACAGGCTCAGGGGACACACCTGTGCCTTCCGTCTTTCCTGGTCCCATGCCCGTAATTCCCCCTCCTGATGGGAGAAACCCAGCCCTTTATCAAAGGGCTGAGTGCCCAGTAGACGCCCCCGCAGGACCTCCGAATGGCCTGTATCACATACCGGTGTAAGCAGGGCCTCCTGTGCTACACGTGACTGATTGTGGTCCGGGGACGATGACATCATGGTCTCCATGGTCTGCCTGGGTTTGGGTTGAGACCAGCTGTGGAGGGAGTCTTTCTCCTGCGAGTAAGGCTGGAAGGCACCGCTGCCGAGCCTAAGAGTAGGTGCAGACAAAGAAAGTGTAAACACTTGTTGTCTAAAGGATCGTTCACACCAACAACAAATTGAACGATAACTTTAAGCTGCAGCCACATTGGTCACTGTTATTCCAATAGAAATCTGCACATCTGGGAATTTGGCATGAGGTAAAGAAAGTTGCTGATTTTGGTTGGCCAAATTGTTGCACTGTTGTGGACACAATGGCGTAAACGCTATAGTTATCGTTCTTGGTGTGAACGAGCCTTAATGATTGCAGCATAACATGCTATACTAACATGATCCATACCTGTCCCCATTGTGTTCTAGGGATCGGGTCAGTCCGGTTCTCTCGCACAACTGAGCATAGAGCTGCTGCCCTGTAAGAACAGAAAACTTTTCCTCTGAACTTGCCCCTTTTCCAGCCTTTCCTCCTCCTCTAGCTACACTTGTCATACTGCTGCCCGCCGCCGCATCTGTCCTCTTGCCCTCCGACCTCTGACCTCCAGCCTGCCCATTATAGTTAGCCTTTGGGACGGCACCGCTGGCCCATGCTTTTTCTGCACTCGCAGACACCGGCTCGTGCTGTATGTCGTCTTCCTCAATCTCCTCTTCCTCTTCCTCCTCCTCCAGCTCCATTATGGAGCCACTTGCCCCACTGGCTCCGCTGCTAGGCCTCCCCAAACTGCTGCAGGGTAAGCTCAACGTGTTGCCCTCTGAGTCATCTGCACGACTGCTACCATCCAGTGACGAGTCCTCGACAGTCACCAGGGATGGACTGACCCCTGCTGGCCATACCTGCACGTCTGACATCTCCAGCATGGTGTCCTCCTCAGTGGTGGCGATGGGCGCACACTCCAGGCTCGACACCTCCTGCCAGTAGGGCTCGACGCCCAGCGGAGAAGGCAGGCTATACTGCATGGAAGCGGGGGAGAGCAGCTCCTCCTGCACCAGCCCGTAACCTGAGGAATGGCCAGACAAGAAAGGCAACGCTAACACCACACAGAAGGAGTGGGGGTAACATGGGGAGTTTTGACCCTCTCAAAAAGGTCATGCAGAACACAGTGCTCTGAGTGCAGTCATGTCTGTCGATATATAAGTGAACAGAAGTGCTTTAATGCAAAGCATTAGCATTGTAACAGGGCCAAAGAAAGGTCATTCAGTAGATTAGGTTCACTCACAACAAGCAATCCTTTTAAAGAAATATTCTGGGTGTTTTTCCAACATGGGGCATTGAAAAAAAAATAGCATTTCACACATTTGTACATTCCCATCATTCTTAACATGCATATTTGCAGTCAGTGTCACTGACTTAGCTCTCGCATTTTATATACTGCTGACTATTTAACAGGCTCTTTGCCATTTAAGTTCAAGTGTTGACTACTGTACTACTTGACATTTCCCCCTCAAGCACTGAAGTAAATATTGCCAAAACATCCTAATACTGCATTACTTCAAATGATACAAGTCTAGCTCTACATTGCAGGTAACACGTCAAAAGTATAATATCAGTCATTTTAAAATAATGATTCAATTCTGCAAATGAACAGCAGTAGCAACAGATATTATTTCCATATGGTGCATTCAACTGAAAGGTAAGTCTTCCAGGTTTGCCAAAAAAGGCAGTAAGCACACTAGGAGACCAGATGCCATTATGTAATGATTATCAACAAGGAAGGTGGGAAACTGTGAGCTATTCCAGGGGTTAATTTATTACAATCCTTCTCCTGGAGGATAAATATCCTGTTTATTTTATCTCTAACCAGCTCCACTAGACTTGCTTCAAAGCATCTAGTGCAGGGGTCACCAACCCTGTTCCTGGAGCGCTACCTACCTGCAGAAATCAGTCCCAACTCTAATCAAACACACCTGAACCAATTAATAGTACCTATAGCAGCACTTGATAATTACAAACAGGTGTGTTTGGTCAGGGTTGCTACTGAAATGTGCGGGAAGGTAGCTCTCCAGGAACAGGGTTGGTGACCCCTGATCTAGTGAATTAGCTGGCTCAAGTTTGTTTAATAGGAATTGAAGCTTAACTTTTCAGGACAGTGGCCCTTCAGGAACAAATTTGGACTTCCTATTTTTGTGAATCAGAAGATCTTGATTAGCTGGTTTAGGTATGTTTAACTAGGGTAGGGCCTCCAAGAACAAGTTTGGGCACAACTGGGCTAATCTTTAACATTCTTGCCATTAAATGATCCTTCTGAATTTTACTCTCGAACAGTTTACACCAAAAATGCTGTTATTATAAATTGTTACAGAAAATTATCTAACAACTAGGATTTATTTCATGACATTTTAATTTATTTCCATGCTATCCATAAACACTGTGTCATGCATCTTTGACAAATTTTACAGTGACACCACTGAATTTGGTTATCAAGTTACACAATCTAAGTTGATCAGTCAATCATGGTGGTTGCCATCTCCAATAATAAAACCATCAATGATTATCGAATATGGTTCTTGTTTGTTGAATGGATCAAGACAGATCTGCATGTCTTTCAGCTGACAGTGCAGAGCTCGGGTTTGCTGCTAAACTTTAATTCTAAGTATGCTTAAACGTTCATCTACACACATTCACACCAAACCCAGAATATTCCTTTATTATGCCCTCTCAACATACAGACTAGACTTGGGTTCAAAATAGACTCATGTCTGATCTTTCTCAAATATGTATGAAAATTATGTACGTGACCAAGCAGTACATCCAGCTTAATGAGAATGCAGCAATGGCCATTTTCTTGTGTGCATGGTAGGATAAAAATTCCAGAGACTGTTCAAATGAACATGAAGTTGTATGTATGTAAGCAACATGTTTTTTCATGACTGATGTAGAAGTATGCATGATTAATAACAGTGTTTTAAAAGAAACATTCTAAAGGTTTAACAAGGTCAATATCTTAAAGTCAACCACTCACAATGCTAATAGAAATACATATTTAGAATCCAGATTATTGAGCATCATACGAATCTATAATTTCAAGATAAATATAATCATGGCTAGTTACGCTTTTGGAAATTTTCTAAAACTGTGAAAATATCCACTAATAAACAACACAAGCAACCAAATCTCACCTTAGTTTAGTAGTTAAATGTTTTAATGTAAAGCAAAAATCAATTGTTAAGAATGTCTTCGATAATTGTTAAATTGCAATGTAACCATCTAAACAAAGTAGTCAAATACTTGTATATAAGTAATAATACATATACACGATAATGCAATTTATAAGAACATTCAATAAAAATATACTTTTCACACCTGTAGTGTGTGTACTTAATAATTTGGACTTTAAAAATGACACAAAACAACCCAACAAGCATTTTTTTTTTTTTAAAAGATGTCTAATAGATGTCTAATTGATATCTAAACATAGTCGTCTTGGTTAAAACAGGGCTAAATTTGGTCTGTCAATGAAAATCTAATAGATATCTAAGAATAGGCCAAAACTAGATTAGTCATCAAATAAACTGAAATGAATGACTACACACATAAAGTCTGTCTAATCTGTTTATTTGACAACCAGTCTAGTTTCAGGCTATTTTTAGATGTCTATTAGACTTTTCTGACAGTCCAACTTTAGCCTTGTTTTAGCCAAGCTCCCAACGTTTAGATGTCTATTAGACGACTATTAAACACAAAAATGTTTGCTGCGAAGACCTAAAGAGAAGCTCATCAGAAGTTTTGATTAATTTATCAAACAACTGCCACCATATGAGCCAATGTTGTCGCTGTGTATGTAGGTGGATGGATGCAAAGATGTTTCATGGTTGGATGGACGATGTACGGCTGTTATAATGGATTGATAATGAAATGAAGAAGAGAATGAAGATGACTTCCAGTGATGATTTAGTGGAGACCTTCACTGTGCCCCCAGTAAGGAGAAAACACACACACGTGACACACAACAAATGTACTCTCACTTAACTACAAATAAGCAACGCAACACGAGGCAAATGTGTAAATAAATACTGCTGATTGTTACGTACAAAAGCCACATATGAAGACACACACCTAAAAACACACCCATGTACACGTGCAAATAAATGTTGCCACACGTAAACCGTCAAATCACGTTACAACACAACAAAACCCACACAACAACACACAATTATGACTGTCCTGAGTGGTCTGATTGTTTTATACGTACTTATAGAGAAGTTAGATATTTCGTAACTCACATTCTCACACAAGAGCACACACACACACACATACAGAACAGGTTAGGACTGCGTTCACACCATTACATTTTTTTTATGAGATCATTTAATGGGATAGTTCACTCAAAAATGAATCAAATCTCTCATTATTTACTCAATATTTTCTTATTTCACACCTGTTTGAGTTTTCTTCTACTCTTAAACACAAGGGAAGCCTGTAACCATTGACTTCCTTAGACTTTGTTTTTCCCATAATGGATGTCAATGGTTACAGGTTTTTGGCTTTCTTAAAAATATCTTCTTTTGTGATTAATAGATGAAAGAAACTCGTAAAGGTTTGGAACCACTTGAGGGGGAGTAAAAAGTGAGTAATAAATCTTAATTTTTGGGTGAACTATTTCTTTAATGTGTAATAATATGCAAACGTTGCTTTTACTGTTGAGTAGTTTCTTGTTATATACTGTCGAAAGTTCTTTTTAGAAAAAAAAAAAAAGATTAATTTTTAACTGTTAAAGGTTATAAAACTAGTGGTATTTTGTAAAATATTGAGTGTTTAGCCACCAGGGGGCGCTAATAGCTACATGATTATCATTTTTGTGAATACAGTCCATGACATCAGCAACAACACGGAGCCCTGTGGTTGAAAATGGTGTCACGTAATCAAAGAGTGACACACACAAACAAACAGGCTCGAAAAACACCAACAGCAAAACATCAGTTGACGCATAACGCTCAGAAAACGCTTCTGCAACATAACAGTCGCAGATACATTTTCAACAGCATTATGCAAACTGTTGCCAACAAAACAGCAGGGCCTCAAAAAATGTTGTTAATATTTACCAAAGACGAGAAGAGAAGAGTTACTGAAGCTACAGAGATTCAGGAGACTGACACTTGGTGCAAATACACACAGGGAAAAAACCCATACGTTGAAAGCATGCCATGCATACACAACATCTGGTGTAGAGAAACACAAGCAAAGGCCTCTTGTCAATTGAAGCCTCACAAATACACTTTTTTTTAATTTACAAAATAAGAGCACATCGAGCAACATGCACATGCGTACAGACACAGCACAGCTCCCACTCAAAATGGGAACCAGAAAACAAAAACGAAAGAAAAGTCGAATGACAGGAAAAGAGGAGGCCCAGAGGAGGTCAATATGAGGTCGGAGGTCGAAGAGGAGAGCTGTGAGGAGGAAGAGGAGGGCGGCTGGGCTGCAGATGACATGTTTGGAGAAAGAGAGAAGGAGGAAAAGAGAGAGGGAGAGGCGCAGACACAAGTATGGAGGCCTGTTGTCTTTTTTTTTAAGTACTCATCCATACTCCTATCTGTTCCTCAATGGCATATTGTAAATAACACATCCTGAGAAAGCTAAACACATTTGATTTGTATTTTGGAGCATAACTGTTGCAGTATAATGCAATTTTGAAATATATTTATCAAATTACTTTTTCCCCTAATTGCTCTTTTAAAATAATTATATTAATATATTTTTGCTAATTAAAGCCTCCTAAATTCCAATAAAAACGAATTTCTTTAAAATTAAATTGGATAATACATCTTTTAATTATCCCTATAATTACTGCTACTATTACAAATGCATACAATGTTTTTGAATGTAATGTAAGTTGTAGAGATTGACATATTTGTCATGTTACTTTTATCATGTAAAAATACTGAAGGTATAAAATAATTATTATTTAAAAGTTTCATATTTTTTATTAATTTAAAACATTGCATTTGACCAAATTATTTATAATTTAAAAATCTGAAATGTAAATATATGTAAAATACAAAAAATGACATTATTTGAATTGCATTAATAACACATTACACATTACATCAATTTAATTTAATACATTTTATATATTTTTATGTATTTTACCCCTATTTAAATAGCTTTGCAGTTAATTCAAATCATAATTATCCTATTATGTATATGCATTGCCAACTGTCAATATTAATATCATTATTACAGTATCAATCTATTAAAATTGTAATAATTACTATTACACACTTTGCTAATGTGCATTTTACCAAATTATATATATATAATCATTTAAATATCTGCATGCTACTTTGTTCAACACAATTATAATTATATTTTGTCATATGTCTACATTGTTACATAATTTCTTTGAGAATTCCTGCAATAAAGACATTTAGAGTCTCATTATTGTCATGTTCTTGTAATATTGACTATTTAAGTACTACTGCAACATGAAGTCAGTTTGTCCCTACTCCCTTCTTGTTAGTTCATTAATAATGAATGGAAAAGGCAGAAAATGGTGGCATTGTCATCGCATGCCTGATTCATCAGCGAGTAAAATCACAAAACTAAGAAAAAAAAATACCATGAAATCCCGACTTTGACATTCTTTTTATACCATTTCATGCTCTGGATTTTGGGAAACCGAAGCTAGTACGCAATCAGTGGTCGACCCATGCAGCTTCAAACATTTTCAGCCTTGGTTTACCGGATGGATAATGTCATCTCATTGATAAAGTCCAGATTATCTGCAGTCAATTCTTACCATTGACGACACTAGGAGAAAGCAGAGTGGAGTCTCGATCAACCAGTCTACAGGCTCCTTCCTCCAGGGTCTCCGGCAGCACCGGTGGAGCCTGCGCCTCCAGACACTTCACGATATCGGAGCGGTCGATGTTCTTCAGCGCTCCATAAAGACTCTCCACTGAACACATCATGATGATGGAGGAAGCGTTATAGTAGCATGCAGAGACAAAGAGCAACATACGTTTATGTTAATGAGATAATTCAGTGTAGGCTATGACAGATTAGAGATTTTAACAATTTTCAAATGAACTTGCATTAAAATATAGATTACAGTTTTATTTTAGTCAGTTTACTTAACAATGATGTAACAATGAGTTTACTTAACAATGATGTTTATTATGTAATAATAAAAACTACCATTTCTAAAACCTTGTGTGAATAAATGGCCAAAACACATCAAAATCTTTCACTTTTTATTTGAAAACGCTGTTTTAAAAAAACCTCCCTTAGTGGAAAGTGAATAAATAACATTTTCCATTGCAATGCACTACTTGTTAGAAGTTTAGTTGGTTTTTCTATGTAAACATGCGCTGAATTGCTTGACTTCATGCCGGCTCACACATTGCACGTTAACTATAAATATAAAGATTCATATGTTTGTGCCCACACTGAAAAACAATCACAATCTGTTTTTTTTTAGATTGTGCTTTTCACTTGGCATTACCCTCTTGTGACCAGCAGATGTCCTCAGTTTGATATTAGTTGATCTGACCAGTGATTTCAGCTCGTGTAATCAATTTAGTGATCACTAACAAATACAACACAAATTATTTTCCCCAGCATTTTTAAAGGAGGCAACATGATGCCACAACTAGCAAGGCATACCTGAGGTAATTTTATTTTTATACTTTAATTTGCCAGCCTGGCTTGCATAAGGACCATGAACTTTTACCATTATTTGCATAATGAGTTTCCAAGACAGTCATTATCTTTAAATAATATTCGAAAAAATAGTTTAAACATTGCCGCCTGTTGCTTTTTTATCTGTATGTTTCAATGGATTCTGACTGGCTGTTGGTGTTTATAGTTTATTAGCTGAGATAACATTCTAAAAGTAATACCAATGATATCGCTTCTCTACAACTTTGTCGGTACAGCTGTGTGAACTCTGCTGTTACAGTATATTACATTCTGAACAATTTTTAGAATAATGTCTTTATCGTTATGTTTATGGTTTTTTGTGCTTAGTGTCTCACATCTTTTTCAGCACCTCACTTTTGTTAAAATAATTTCTGAGTGATGCATCTCATTTAGTGTAAACGGTCTCTAAGTCTGTTTCAACTGACTAGTTCAAGTTGTAGCATGTCCTAAGGTTGTACGCCGTAAGGTGCCATTTAAATGCGTTAACTACATTAAGGTTAAATTAAATTGCATTTACAATCAAAATACTTAAAAAGCAGTTAAATAGTTATTATTTTTATTAATACTTACAAATACATTTCAATTCCATATTTACTAATCATTACTAAGTCGCGTCTCTTAATATTATTTATGTATGATTTATTGTTTGTTTCTGTATTTAAATACAGTTGATTTTTGCTAAATATTGTTTCAGTTATTTTTTTTTAACTACTACAATAGCAGTTTCTTTGTTTTTATGTTCACAAAGATTAAATATACAGTTTGCTGTAACACTGAAAGACACATTAGACCCTACTTTTCTTATGAATTCTTCCAATTAAAGAGACAGTGAGACATCAATTTTTTTCTGAGTTTCAGTGCCATAATCAGGTCCCCGGTGCATCTACAAAGCCAAAAAACATGGCAAAGGACAACCCAGTAACATTGTTTTGGTCAGCCTTTCTCTACACACATCTGGAAAAATGCTCTGAAGCTCTGAAGTCACTCACCTATTGATGTAGCAAGGTGATCTTATCATACAGGCTGGTTAAATATTAACTGGGTAATATTTAATGGAAATGCTAAAACTTGTAATATCATTGGATAATGTAAACAGTCTCTAAATAACAGATAGTAAATATGAATTTGTATTTTCCACATTAATAGTAAAGGTATCAGCAACCAAAGGGAATATTAGAAATGTGGACTTTATTACCAATTTTTAGTTTCTGTTATTTTTTTTTTTTTTTTTTAACTAAACCTCTATATTACTGGCACTCAATCTTCACATCTTGTATCTTCACTTTCCGTTTATTATTTCATTTTAAAATGCTGCTTATACATGTACATTGGATGCATGATCTGGTACAGTCTATTCAAATAGAAAAGATTAGATATGTATATACAGTTTGCTGTAATACTGAAAGATTTTACACTATTTGGCAACAATTTCTGTCACATTTTAAAATTAATAAAAAAATGATAATAAAATATTTAAAGAATTAAAGAAAAAAAAAAGACACTTAACATATTTCCCTTGCCCCTGGCTTAGTTATAAATGGCGAGCACAGAGAAAATTCATTCATTTATTTATTTTCAGCTTAGTCGTTTTATTAATCTTTTCCAACATATGTTTTACGCAGCGGATTCCCTTCCAGCTGCAACCCATAACTGGGAAACATCCATACATACCTATTCACACATATACACTAAAGACAATTTAGCTTACCCAATTCACCTATAGCACATGTCTTTAGACTTGTGTGGAAAACCGGAGTAACCGGTGGAAACCCACGCCAACAAGGGGAGAACATGCAAACTCCACACAGAAATGCTGACCAAGCCGAGGCTAGAAACAGCGACCTTCTTGCTCTGAGGCAATTGTGCTACCCACTGCGCCACCGTGATGCCAGCACAGAGAAAATATGTATGGTTATTTGTTTTTTATTTTCTTTTACATTTTTTTACTGCTGTACTTTTGCATATTTATATATTTTTCTGTATTGCTGTTACAACATAATATGTGCTCGTTTTATTTATGATGTTGTTTTATTTATCTTATTATTATTATTATATATTTTTGTGTGTGTTTTTGCTCTAAATATTGTTTTTGATGCAAGACTTTTGATTCAGAGAGGAGGAAAATGTGAACTAGTTTTGTTTTCTGCTCACAGATTGGAACTGATGAATTCATGTCTTACTGATTCTTTATATTTGATACTGTAACTATCTGACTAATATGCATCAATAAAACAGTTAAAATAAATTGTTGCTTTCAACAGTTTTCATTTGGTTTATGACGATATACCACATGTTGTTTCTTTTTTGTTCCTGCATTCCTTGGTTTCTGTTTCATCTAACATACTACAGTAGTTTCTTTTAATCCAATAGCTATTTCATACTATAGTCACTGATTAATTTGACCCGTGTTTGATCTGATCTCCTTTGATTGCTCAGTATACTGAAACTATACTCACTAGTTGCTAATGAACTGTAAATCTTGCACATGTATGTTAAACAGTGTGCTTCTGTGTTGTTAAATAAGGGGGATATAGCCACAAAGAGGTAGTGTGTGATACAGTAGATGCTCACTCCTGGCCTTCTTGCCCTCTCGGCTGACTCACAGGTTGAGCAGAGCTGAAACTATACCCGCTAGTTGCTAATGAACTGTAAATCTTGCACATGCACATTAAACAGCAGGCTTCTGGGTTGTTAAATAAGGGAGATAAAGCCACAATGAGGTAGTGTGTAATACAGTAGATGCTCACTCTTGGCCTTCTTGCCCTCTCGGCCTACCCACAGGTTGAGCAGAGCTGAACTCTGGTCCAGGAGAGAGTTGGGATTCTCCACACGGATGCGGTTAATGTCATCCACACCGAACTGCAGCTCCCTGGCCAGCTCTACAAACCAAAGCAGACGAGATTTAGAGGAGAAACACAGAGAGTTAATGAAAGGGATACGAGGGGAGACGCTCTTACCGGTCCAGCTCAGTCCCAGCTGCTCTGCTATAACTGTGATCTTCAGCTCGGTTCTCTCCATAGCATTAACAGCGGCTGAATCACAGACAAAGAAAACACTATTACCACATGTTAAAATGCTTTTATAGCACAGAAGCTTATGATAGTGGCTTTCACTGAAAAACAAAACAAAAACAAGAAATTTAATACAGTGTAGATCATAGTAATAATATGACTATACACTTACGGTTGGCTGATATACAGTCAAAATTACACAACTGAATTTTTAGACCCCCTGTTTATTTTTTCCCCAATTTCTGTTTAACGGAGAAAAGATTTTTCAACACATTTCTAAACATAATAGTTTTAATAACTGAACTCTAATAACTGATTTATTTTATCTTTGCCATGATAACAGTAAATAATATTTGACTAGCTATTTTTTAATACTATACAGCTTTAAGTGACATTTAAAGGCTTAACTAGGTTAATTAAGTTAACTAGGCAGGTTAGGGTAATTACACAAGTTATTGTATAACGATAGTTTGTTCTGTAATTTTGACCTTAAAATGGTTTATAAAAATTAAAAACTGCTTTTATTCCAGCTGAAATAAAACAAATAAGACTTTTTCCAGGAGAAAAAATATTATCAGACATGCTGTGAAAATTTTCTTGCACTGTTAAACATAATTTGGGGGGAAAAAAGGATAATCAAAGGGAAGCTAATAATTCTGATATCAACAGTATGATGTTTTGTGCCTCATATATAAAAATTAACTTTTTTTGTGGTTAGTGTGATTTGTTTAGATTTTGAATCTTGTGTTCTGTTTTATTTAATAAAGATATAAAATCAAATCAGAAAATATTGGGAAATATTATTACAATATAAAACTAGTGTTTTTATTTTTATATATTCAGAAATGCAATGTATTCCTGTGATTCAAAGTAGACTTTTCATCAGCTATATTTGAGTGTCGCATTTTCCTTCAGAAATGATCCTAATATGCTTATTAGAAAGATCAAAATAAAATGAATCACTTGAAATAGATTATATTATAATATAACAATAATAGATTGTAATTGTTTTACTTCTACATTTAATCAATTTAAAATCTCCTTGCTGAATGAAGTATTCATTTCTTGAATTTCTTTGTATTAAACTCAAATTTTTGAATGAGAAAGTTAATGTTTAAACAGATTTAATTTTGATAGATTAAAAAAGTCACTTGTTTATCTTTGTTCATTAGTGACATTATTAAAAATATCAGATTTTAAAAATTACATTTATATTTGACAAAATAATGCAAAAAGGTAGAGAATAAATAACTTTATTAAAAACTAAATGTCTCAAATGTAAATGTTTATTCATTAATAACATAATAAAATCCAAAAGTTTACATTAATTATTTAAAATGTAATAATAATTTTTTTAATATAGTTTTTACAGGAATATATATAAATATATATATAAATATATATATATATAAATATATATATATATAAATTTAAGGTTAAAATTATTAGCCCCTTTTGAGCTATATATTTTTTCAATAGTCGACAGAACAAACCACTGTTATACAATAACTTGCCTAATTACCCTAACCCGTCTAGTTAACCTAATTAACCTAGTTAAGCCTTTAAATGTTACTTTGAGCTGTATAGAAGTGTCTTGAAAAATACCTAGTTAAATATTATTTACTGTCATCATGGCAAAGATGAAATAAATCAGCTATTAGAAATGTGTTAATAAAACTAATAATTTAGAAATGTGCTAAAAAAATCTTCTCTTCGTTAAAACAAAAATTGTGGAAAATAAACAGGGGGCCTAATAATTCAGGGGGGTTAAAAATTCTGACTTCATCTGCATATGATGATGGTATGCGTGTAAAAAATGAAGCTGTTCAGTAACCTATATATTAAAGATCTCCTAATAACAGGTACCTAATAATTGCATTTTCATTCAAAGCTGGACATGACATCTGTGTAATGGTCATATAACAGCCGCTATATGATTAAAATGCCCCAAAACAGAATAAAGTTTGGTTCCATCCAGTGACTGAAACTGTAACATTGTTCATCACTTACCAACAACTGGCCAAAATCTGCACTCTACAAACATTAGCTGGCTTCATCTGCTTCGAAAAACAATGAAGACAGACACAAGATGTTTTGGCCACCACGCAAACCTCCCAGCCACGTTCTACAACCCTTCAACATCTCTAAAACAAGCAGTCTTTCAGCAGTCCTTCCCTTTCAAAGCTCATTCTCAAAGCTGGAGCTTGCCATGCTAAGAGTATTTCTGCTGGCATCAAACCAGCACCATGCGCAACATTTCTGCTCATTCGCTCAGTAAAAACAAGGGCCCGTTTTATCTCTCAAGTCTGTTTGCGTTAGTAGTGGTCCCTCTGAGCGCAATCCCAGCATTACCCTCATAAAAGAGGGCAGTGCTCAGCATCCAGTCACAGCCATGCATGAGAGGAACAGAAGCAAGGAAATGGGCAGAGCATTCAGAAGCCGCCCTGCTCCTCCACCGCTGACATGATGCCGCTATGTCTTACCCAGGCCAGGTTCACTCAGGGCGCTGTACCTCTCCCTCAGGGCCAGAGGAGTCAACGTCCTCCGCCGATCATCGCTACCCACCCCCTAGAAGAGAACAAATATTCAATAAATACAGAGCTAAAGCAGTTCTGTTCTTCATGCAGTGTTTAGCAGCATTTGTAGATTTACATCAGAGTGTTGGAAGGTGTTGCATTTAGAGATTAGCAAAAACTAGGCCCACACAATTGTTGTTGACTTCCCATATATTTACTTGTGTAAATATGTCTAAAACATATGATGATTTTCAGAAATGCCATCTGAAATTTTCTTCTAAAATTACCATTTTTCTGAGGCTCCCTTTATTTATGTTCACAAATTTCACATTAAAGGCAATGAAAATAACATATTAATTGATATAAAAGGTAAATTAGCCAATTTATACATAGGAGCTTGAGATAAATGCTAACTGTAGAAGAAAAATTCAGATGGCACTTAGAGGTTTTTGCATCCGAGCTCTTCATATATATTTATACAGTTTTTGTGACTATATATTTCAGCTATATTATAACTGTATTATAATTCTTAAATGATATTAAATGTTTACATTTTTGAATGTTTATTTGTGTACAATCCACTTTGTAAAGTAATATGTTGTAAAGTAATAAGTAAAGTAATAAGCACATAACTGTTGTAGCAGTGTTTACTAAACAAATGGTTGTCGCTGTTTGAATTTACAATTTAAAACTTGAATAAAAGTGAAATCGCTTTTTATTTATTTTTATTTATTTGTTAAGTTTTCAGCTCATACTCTCAAAATTATTCCACTGAAATACTTTTATTCACAAAATCTTGGGCAGAAATAGCAAAAAAGTCTGCAGATTTGTTTCAGCGAAATTAAATTGAAGTTTTGACGTACTTAAAGGTTCAAGACACCCTCAAGTACTTTTTTTATTTTAACTGATTTGTGTGTGTTGAGCATCAGTTAAGACAACGTTAACACCTGTCAGCTTTAATTGTGGCAAACGCAGACTCATGAAGCATTTTTTGAAAAAATTCCGAGGTAGACATGAACTGAAAGAGGGGGGGTTATGGCCCTTTAAGTGCTGCTAAAGATGAGGTTTATGTCTCAGTGCAGAAGAAAAAAAAAGCTTTGAATAAACTTAAAAAAAACTGCATTGCAATTAAAGTTTACAGAAACTGATAAAGTGCACACACACAAAAAAGAAATACCTAAAATCGATTTCAGATGTTTTCCTCAATTTAGGTCTGTGACAATAAATAACAGAAAATTCATTATTCTACTGTTCATTATTTTTTTATCTTTGTCATTCTATGAACATTTTATGCCACTGATTATACAATAATTATACAACAGCCTAATAATAGAAACAGTCGTACATCAAAGTGCTTTTTCCTCAAGCTGGGTATTTTATTCAGTTGTTTTCAATAGAAGTGCCACAACTTTTAAAACTGCAGCAGTGTAGCGAGGCACCAAGCATCTATTTTACACAAGTTGCTGAACACTCAGCATTTTTAACTTGCTGTGACAGTCAGAGAAGCGTTCACAGCTGAGCATTTCTAGAAGACTGCTACCATTTTCAGCTGTGCAAAAAATGCTTTGTTACACATGCACCCTTAACCCTAAAGCACACCCTATACTGTAGCCCTTAGTTTTTCCTTGTAGACACTTTTAGGCTCAAGTGGGAACCCGTTTTTTTAACAAATGTCATATTTTTGTATTTATATAACTCTAAAATGTTTAAATGATTTTAATTTAATATTCCCCATTATTCTCCTATATGGGACAGATTATGGAGTTGGACGTGAAGTTAACTGTTGAATCAAGTCCTCTTTTTGCTTGCTTAGGTGGCAAACTTAAAAAAAAAAAGTAGCCAAGTCTTGAACCAATCAGATCATCACTGAAGTCAGTTTAAACCTACCAAAACCTAAAAATGTGGTAACTTCATTGACATCTGGCTTATGGTGGCATAAAATATAAAAAATGCTAAACTTTAAGTATGTCTAGTGTGTTGTATAGAAATGCATATTGTGTACACTTAGACCTTTAGGTATATGACTGATCGGAATTGTACTTTATTTATTGATTTTAACCCCAGATTAATAAAAGGATAAAGCCGGAAAGAAAATGAATGAATGGAAAAATTTTTTTTAAATGCTTTGAATTTGAATATTTCCCCCTTCATTTCTTGTGGGTGCCTATTTTTGGGCAAAGAGAAAAATCAAGGATTTTATAAACCACTTAATTTTGTTGAATCTTTTTTGGTGTTTTTAAATGGTAAACTTTTATATAATATATATAGAATTAATTAACCAAGTCAACAGCTCAGATTAAAGAATCTATTTTTTACAAATCTAATTAAATTATTTTTTTTTAGTCTAACAGAAAAAAGCCAAAATGCTCCAAGCCAAAATCCCCTAAAAGTGGCGTTTAGAAAAAAACAGTGTTTTTATGAGTTGATGCACAAGTATGTGTGATGTACGTCACCTTGACGCAGGGAGGCATGGTGATGTTGAGGTTGCACAGGACGTGCTGCGTGTCCTCATACTTGGTGGACTTGCGTAGGAAGGACAGGAACCCACTGGCTTCCTTATTAGCATCTCTCACCTGACGAGCCAGGGGAAATGGAGGCAAAGGAACAGATGGGGAGAGGAGAACCGGATGCAAACGGGAGAACAAAAGAGGGGGAAATGAATGAAGAGAAAGAGAAAGACCAAAAAAAGAGTGTTAGACAGAGCAGCTGGCGGCTGAGACTCAAACAGGGGAGCAGGGAAGGGGATGGAGGGAAGCAGTCCACAGGCAGGCGAGAGACAGAGAGAGAGATTTACCTTCACTTTTACCTGGCCGTCTGTGAGATCAGACAGTGAGAGAGAGAGAGACAGTGAGACAGACATACGGACAGGCGGGCGGGCAGGCTAGAAGGTGAAAGAGTTAAGGGCATGCGCACGACACTAATACAACAATTACTACACCACAGCACAGATCAGCAGCTCGTCTGAGGCTGACAGATTGAAGCCACGACCACAGATGAAGAGATGAAGAAGACAAGAGGACAGACAGAGACACAGACAGACAGACAGACAGCTCTGACTGGGGGAATCAGAAACACTGGGGATGAGGGCTGCACCATTACGATATTATTACTTTGATTCCAGAGAAAGATTTTATTAGAAATATTAAAAATGTTGGTCAAAAAGTATTTTCATTAGCTGAAACCAAATCAAAAATTCACAATAAATGAAAAACAAAAACAAAAACGATACTAATAACAGACACTGAAAAACTAACTGAAATAAAAATGATAATTAGTAGATGCTCCGATCAGGATTTTTGGAGCTGATACTAAGGAACAATTCCTCATCATTGGGATCGGCCGATACCGAGTACCAATTCAGATGCTTAATATTTATCAATATATTAATATAATTAGCTTTATATAACTTTAACACTGCATAAAGCACATTTTCCCTCTAAGTACAATACATAAGTGGAGCTTTCTCTTTTCCTAAAAATGAAGGCATACAATGATGTTGCATATAATCCCCTAAACACGTCTCTTATAACCCTTTAGTGTGGTTACGTCATGGTCAGAAGCAGCTTTACAGAAAATGAAACTGATAAAAAATTTGGTAAGAAAAATGACTAACAATGTCGGGGTCGCCACAGTGGAATGAACCACCAACTTATTCAGCATATGTTTTACACAGTGGATGGCCTTCCAGCTGCAACCCAGTACTGGGAAACATCCATACAAACTCATTCAAACTCATACACTACGGTCAATTTAGTTTATTCCATTCACCTATAGCGCATGTCTTTGGATTGTGGGAGAAATAAGAGCACCTGGGGAAAATCCACGCCAACACGAGGAGAACATGCAAACTTTACGAAGAAATGTCAACTGGGACTCCCAGCCGGGACTCGAACCAGTGACCTTCTTGCTGTGAGCTGGCAGTGATAGCCACGAGTCACCCATCATTGGAAGATATTGTTTGGAATTACGCACACACACACACACACACACGCACATGGAAATTGTCTGAGGGTGCTTTCACACCTGTGAATCGATTCAGTTGTTCTGAAACAGAGATTACAAATTGTTACATTGTTGCTCTTTGCTCTTGGAGCGGTTCGCTTTCACACTGCAAAGTTTTTTAATCGGACCAAAAGAGCTAAAACAAGTCACGTGCGAGTAAACTCTCCTCACAGTGTCAGGGTTTATTTTCCAGCGTCCCGCTCAGCTGTCAGGAGAGGTGGTGGTTTGGTGGTGATTGACAAGGTGCGCGCGCGAGGAGAGATGCGGTGGGGAGGGGTGAGAAGAGTGCCTATTTGAGGACCGGGTAGGAGGCGCGAAACTACCGGGAGTTCATCATTCGTTTGCGGGCATCCGGAGACTTGCGAAACTTCCCGCCATACTCATAATTCTCTCTTTATATAGCCGTAAGCCTATTACATATCCATAAAACACTGTGATATAACCGTGCTCGGATCGGATCACTTTCTCACTGCAATCGAACCGCTCCAGGGTTCGTTTCAATCGGGCCGAGACCACCTCTCTCAGGTGGTCTCGGAGCGATTACTTTGGCGCGGAACAGAGCGCGATTGCCCTGTTCACATATGCCAAACGAACCACGCTAACTGGGCAAACGAGAAAGGTTCCGAAACAAAAGTGTAGGTGTGAAAGCACCCTGAGTCTATCTGTGTTTTAACCAATCAGGATAAAACACCTATATGTATGACACGGTTACTGATGTTATGTGAGAGAATAACTGTTGTTGTTTTAAGATTGTAAGCAGAGCGGCTTACAAACTACAAGAGTAGTACTGATGAAACTGCAAACTATCTTCAGTATTCTTTCTGTTTAATTGAATCTCTGACTCCGGCTCTTCTTCATCTGATAGACTGGCCATTTTGGGGTTAAAACTGTCAGTTCCCCTACATTTCAAATACATGTGCAGCCCTACTGGAGACATTAGGGAGAACATAAAATCAACAAAATTACCAGAAAAAGTGGTTGACAATGCTAACACACGCGCACACACACGCATACATACACACAGTAATGTCACACATTCAATGGCACACAAAGAATGTGTAGGCTGACTGAAGAAAAACATTTTTGAAACAGGGGTAGACGGCATGTACTTCTCAGCCTATATTTCCTACGACACACTTCAGGACAGACAGAAAAAGGTAAGGGGGCGACAGATGAACAGACCTTTACAGAGACGGGCAGCCGGTTGTCTCTGAAGGCCTGGAAGCTGAAGCTACGAGGTTGTTGGGTGGCTTTCCTGACGGGCACCAGGTTTCCAGAACACTCCAAGTGCAGCGGCATCCCCTCCATCACCTGTGGGAGGAAAACAAGGAGAAACACAGGCAGAGCAGTGAGTCAGAGTGAGTCAGAGACACCACCATTAACGTAGGAGTACACTTTACTGTCTATACACACACACTCACAGCTGCATTTCAATATTTCTGGCCTTTGTAAATGTTAAAAATGAGTTGAATAAGAACGCAACAACTAAAGTAAAGGTACTCTGTCATCAAAAATCACTATATGGCATCAAACACTGAAATCAAACAATGAAACAATGTAAAAGTCTTAACTGTGACTTTTGATGCAGTAATCATGATAAGTGGAGATAAAAATTAGAGAACAAACTACAATTTCATTAAATTAAAGGCCACAGCTAAGTCCTGTTTGAAGTTATGTTATTCATTCATTTTCCTTAATTATATAGGATTAATTATATGATAAACCCCTTTTAGCTAGCAGGCAATCTATCCATTTTTCACAGATTGTGCAAGATGGCGAGCCATAATAATATGACTACAACCCAACAACAGGTTAAATTAAGGCAAAAGGGAGACAGAAAGTACACTTCAGTGATGAAAGAAAGTTTAATGTCTTTGTGACAGATGAAAACATGATCATCTTCAAACTGGGGAAAAACTGAACCCAAAGTGTGTAAAGAAGTCAATAAATGGCAGAGGTGAAGTTTCATGGTTTCAGCTTTGCTTTATTTAGCAGCAGCCTGGCGTTTTTTTATAGCCACATGACAGAATGAATGTGAATGTCTATCAGAAGCTCCTTCAGCAACATGTGGTTCCTGTCATGCATTCATCATCAGCCAGCAAATTTCATGCAGGACAATGAGTCCTAACACATAGCAAAACCGGAAAAGCAGTTCCTTGAAGCTAAAAACGATGAAATATTGAAATGGCCAGCCAAAAGTCCTGATGTAAACCTGATTGAAAATCTCTGGAAAATACTTTACACTGGAAAATAATTTAGCTGTAATCTTTCTTTGTGTAATCAAACTAATTGTGATCACTTTTTTTTGTTGAAGTGCCTCAAGTATTTTGTAAAACACTGTTCTAATGGTATGGTATAGCTACAATTAAAATTCGTTAAAAGTTTTGAACAATGAAGATTATTTATACTGTACATTTTATTCTGAAAAAGGTGTTTAAAACTTGTTGTCTCTTGATCTCCACTGTAGATAAAGAAGATTTTATGTCTAACCTCAATGTCTCTGCTGCGGGCAACCTCAGAGAAGTTCTCGTGTAGTTCAAGGGTTTTGTCTATTTTGTCGTCAGTCATGCAGTAACAGCGCAGGCGGCCCTCTCTGGCATCGTTCATCTTAGCAAATACCACAAATTTGGCCATGTATGGAACTGACATCAGCTCACGGTACAGCAGGTTGGCGAAGGTCACGGCCTCCGCCGTTCGCGGACAGTCTGCCAGCCAGAACCTGCAGCGACACAAGAGGACAGACGCATGTACAAAAGACACCGAAAACACAGGGTCACAAGAGACATTGTTAACTTGTTAATGTCTATTATTATACACTTGTGTCTGTTTTATGGGCTGCAAAGAACCTAAGGGGGCAAATTCACCAAGATTTAAATGTGACATTTTTTACTTGCACACACTGGCTATGCTGTAGCAAATGCAGTATTATTTAATGAGTTAATGCTGCAATTGTAACAAGATACCTACACCAAACTAGGTATTAAATAACAAAATTAACATAACATAAAAAATAAAAACACTTTCACAAGTATATTTTACAAATCCAACTGTGCTGGGAGTAAATAAAAAATAATTCAAATAAATTAAGGCAATGTCAATGAAAAGAAAATACATATTTATTGGTTAAAACAGATTATAATTGCTTAAAAGATAATAAAAAACAATAAATTAGCATGTTTTTGTGTAAAACACCATGCAAAAATTAGTTTTTTTCTGTTCAATAAATTGATCCCGATGTGCCCTTGAGTGCTTTTATCTCTCACCTTGCGGACACATTGGTGGTGAAGTTGGCACAGTTATGGGAATACATGAGCTTGGTAGTGCCAGTGATGTCTTCCCACTGAGCAGGAGCAGTGCCACCTGCAGAAAGTTTACAGCTTTTTATAAAATCCCTTTTTTTTTTGCAACCAACACCATCTGGAATGAACTTGCTAAATCTATCTTTATCCCAGTGTCCCTCTCCAGGCAGGACACCAGTCTGTTTCAGCCCTTATCCAAGCAGCTTGGCAGAAAACAAAAGGCTGAAAAAGACTGGCGTTCAGGAAAAACTGCCATTCTCCAGATCACAGATATCATTTTCAGACAATGTTTGCTTTGAAATGGATGAGAATCGGACTGTACCAATAACACTGCAGAGGAGTCGGAGGCTGGTGGTGTCCCCCTCTCCAGCGTCTCGTGGACTCTCCCTCCAGGATGGAGGTAATGGGATGCGCAGACCGATTGGGCGGTGGAATTTGCGCCGACGAGGCTCTACTGTCACAACGGGACTGAATGTGGCCTGGTTTCCTAACTGCCGAGTCAGCAGCTCATCTGGAATTGGCTGGGCCTGGGTGATGACAAGAGAAGAAACAAAAGATTAATTTTTTATTTAATAATAAGATTAGTTCAAGTTTTTTTTATTTTTAAGTCTCCTTTAAGTCTCTTTTATTTTTGCACTGACCTTAGAACAGATTTTTAAAACTGATAATAATAATTATTAGAGCTATTTATAATACATACATTCATTTTATTCTTCTTTAGGTAATATCAGAGTAATATCTATAGGTGGGGCCACAGGGGGAACGGCCCCCTTTTAAATCGGTTTGGCTTTTGTTTTGCCCCTCTCCTCCAAGTCATTGCTGATTAATATAAAAGCTCGGACAAAAAGATATGCTTTAATTTATGTTGAATGCCAGTGATGCCTGTTACTAAGGCTTTCATCCCTGTAGATCGACTGGCTTGTTCCGAAACAGAGATTGAAATTGTTACAATGTTGCTTGTCGAGGTTTGCTTTTAAAGCGGAATGTTTCAGAACGAACCAAAAATGGTATATTAATGGTCATAGTATATCAGATGTATATTATATCAGACTAGACTAAAGTATATTATATCAGACTAAACATGTCATTCGCTAATCAGAGCTACAAGGTTTATTTTCTGTGATTCAGTTCATAGCTGTCATCATTTTGTTGTTTCAAATGAACATTTTGAGCTGTTATGTCAACAATAAAGGTGCGCTTTATGGCGAAATTAATAGTGAAAGCAAAGACGGGTTCTGTGCTGTCATTTACCCGGCAACACGGACACTTGCTGTTTAGAATCATTGCACTTTTTTTTCCACTATAAAAAGGTTACAAAACAATTGTAATGGCAAATCTGTCAAAATTATGGACATCATTTACCCAAAAAACTACGGTTAACATGACCTGATATGTGTTTTTCACAGTCAGAGATTAAGCCAGAACACAGAGTTAAAGTTATTTTAATTTGGCAAACTAATATCCACACAATCCTGTTTATGCAAAAACTGTATCAAAAACAAGAGGGCTAACTGACAAGTTTTTAAATTAAAATTACTCAAATTTAATCCAGTTTCTTTCTTCATTTGAAAACAAAAGAAGATGTTTTGAAGAAAGCTGAAAACCTGTAACCATTGACTCAGTAGGAAAAACAAATAATGGAAGTCAATGGTTACAGATTTCCAGCTTGCTTTAAAACATTTTATTTTGTGTTCAACAGAAGAAAGTCAAACATGTTTGGAACAAGTGATGAATAAATGATGAAAATTTTTAGTTTTGGGTGCTAAAAATGAACTAATCCCATGTTACAACACTCTCCCTAGTCCCCCGTATTTGTTGATCTAATTATTTTCTTTCTTACAGAAACGCTAAAGGTAAAGCTATGATTTTCTGATATCTCTGTTATTTGCAGATGTAAAACTAACCCAATGAAATCATATGATAGGCCTATATAATATATGAATATATACTGTAATAGGACAAAAAGAGTTAAATGTTTAAACATATAGTGCAAGAACCAATTAAAAGATTTGCCTCCTCTCTCTAAACTGTGGCCCCACCTTGGCCCCGGCATTTAAGAAATTAAGAATTTAGAGAATTTAAGAATTTAGAATTAAGAGTTTAAGAATAATAAGTAATATTAGTATACAAGTAATTATTATAATTATTATGAATAACTTACTAATGGTCATTTTGACAAATTTTATTATACAAAATGATTTCCATATATTAGTTTGTGAATGGGGATGACGTTTCTAATCATAATTATATACTTTGTATGAAATGAATGAATATATGAAATTGCGTTCTCTTTCTACATTCTAAAATCTCTTAAAATCTCACCTGTAGGCCTAGTCGGACCCTCTTAGTGACCGCTGTGTCAGGGAAAATGGCCTGGACCTGAGGCACCAGTTTACTTGCCAGCTGACCTCCCTCTGGACCAATGAGATCGCTCTCTTGCCGGACACGTGACACCACCGCAAAGTAGAGCGGGAAGTCAGTGGAGATGATGCGGCGGATTCTTTTCTTCTCCAGCTCTTCCTGACTTTCCAGATCTGATAAAAACAAGGTCAAAGGTTATGTTTTGCACGAATAATTGTTGTACAGTAATGATGTAAAATTAAGAGAAAAGGGAAGAGAAAATAAAACTCTAAATAAAAACTCTATATGATGTACCTTCATCCATTCCATTGAGGATGGTCTCCAGAACATCATCGCCATAGCGATTCCGGTGCTCTTTCCATACGGAGCCGTTTTCACTTCGCAGAACCACCAGTTCCCGATCGCCTCGGCTCAGCGATGCAAAATGAGGGATCTCCACTATCACTGGCCTGAAGGGGAGGATTAAAAGGTCAAAAATCTAGTTAATATTGTATTCCATTTACTCAGCAGGAAGAAAGGACATCCCTCATTCTGTCTCCCTCAGGCTGAATCTTAAGTAATCCTGATACTTCTGAAAATATTTTAAATTCTTTAGCCAGCCAGATTTTTCCAATAATTGCTCATTCAAGCTATAAAGTCTTCATCCAATTTATTGCACATGCACAAAACACAATAAAGATGATAGAAAGGATACAAAGGCACCAGACAATAAAAAGGTTTTCAAAAATCCTCTGTTTTGTTTATATTTTTCACTCTATTTTATTTATTATTTTTGTAATCACTACCACAGACATCAAATTTATATTCAAACAGTAAACATCCCAGTACCGCTCTGCATATTCGAATGTTTAGTAACACAGAAATAATAACACTGAGTAATTTAAAGGTCCTTTAGCATAGTGTCTGTTTATACCTAGCTATTACATGGAAATGACCCAAATACCATTGTTAAATTCTTCTTATATAAATCCTGTTTGAATAAAATACTACAGAAAAATATGTGAATTAGAACATAACACTAAAAATTAATTCCCTACATGTAAACTGTGGCTAGCAGAACTTACCTCAATGTTACGTTGGGAGCAAATTATTAGATGCTATTTAAAAAGAAAACTTAAACAATTTAACAAAATTTGTAATCCTTTTATCTGTTACCTTGAAAACAACCTTGTGGATTAATGCAGTGGTTCTCAAAGGGGGGGCGCGGGACAATGATAGGTGATTTCCAAAAATCTAATAAATTTGAATAAATTTTTAAAATTACTATTACTAATCCATAACCTACAGAAGATTAAAATAGTTACATAAAAATACAATATCTAAAAAAAAAGCCATCAGCCTTTAGGTTTTTTGTTGTTGTTGTTTGTTTTGTTTTTTTTTTACATTGGATTGCAACCCTTAGGGTTTTTACATTAGATTAACGACAGAGCAATAGCGTCAGTTGCACCAGATTGATTTTATGGCACTAGCTAAACTTTCTGACACCTTTACAGCACTCAAGTACATTTAAAATAAATACAGGCCACGATTGAACATAGAGGATAATCTTTAAGTGGCAGTCTCCAAAATTAAACCAAGAAAAGACTTCTAATGTAACTTAAATATTTTGCCAGTCTTATTAGGTGAGGTTAATATTAAACAATAATAATAAAAAAATATTTGGTTGCACTTTTTATGTGTTTTCAATATGCTTATGTTTATATAGGCCTAATCATTTGTGTAAGTGTTGTGTGCAACATTTGCATGATTATAACCACTTCTGAAAATAGTGGGAGTCATTGCCATTGCTATTTTGGGGGTCCCAGGCTGAAAAGTCTGAGAACCCCTGGATTAATGCATAATTTCTGTAATGTAGTAATATGCTTTGTCATCATACTCTGTTGTTCAAACAGGTGTTTGTAACAAATTTGCTTGTTTAGTGGGTGTTTTTTTATTTATTTATTTATTGTTATGATTTTCATATTGTTTTTCCTTTTTTAATTTTTATTTGCTTTGCCTGTTTTATGTGGACAAAATATGTAAAACAGAGAATCCTTCAATAAAACTTATTTGACAAAAAGTACATCACACAGCTATGTAACACTCAGAACACCCTCCGCAGCATTTCCTAGTGAGATACCAACAATGCTTAAAATGCAAAAAAGGTTTTAACAGCTCATTATATATCCTATGTATCTTGGACTATTATTTTGAAAACCAATGCTTAATTCAACAGGCATCTCATGTCATCTCATCTTAACACAGTCATCATGAGAAGACTGTTAAATCCGAGAAAGATTGATTTAGTCAGAATAGACACAAGGTCTATTACTTAGTTTAAGGCAGTGTTTTTCAACTGGTGGGTCGCGACCCAAAAGTGGGTCGCAGGAACATTTTCTGTGGGTCTGTGAGTATGTGGTCAAAAAACAACAAATGTTTCATTTTCAACTTGTTTTGCTTATACAAGACTTTTATTTTGAAATACGCGAGCGACAACTGTACCGATTGACATGTGAAATTTCATTTAATTATAGCAACAAATAAGTCGAAGCGCAAGAACGACCCCGAATATGTAAAGTATGGATTTACATATATTTATGAAAAAAAAGGCTTAAAACCTCAGGTTGTCATATGTAGTGATGTGCGCTCACAAGAGCACTTTTAGAAACCAAACATTTGTTGTTTTTAATTTGTAATATTTCTATAATTTGAGACATTTTGTTTAATGACAATAATAAAATATTGTTTATTTGTAAGTCTTGGTGATTTTCTTACGATTTATCTGTCACTACTTGTGTATGTTAACAAATAAATACAAATTCATTATAATTCCTAAAATTATATTATAGTTACTAAAAAAAAATGTGGGTCCCATGACCAAACCAGTTGAGAACCACTGGTTTAAGGCGTATATTGTGAAATCGTTTGTGTACATTGTAATGACGCAAAGAGTGAAAGGACAGCAATTAACATCATAAAACTAAGTTTGAGTTTTTAGTCAAACTTAAGTGCATTTATGTTTGGGAAAATAATAATGTAGCCTATAGTTCATTCACACACATAACTTAGGAGAACACTATGTTGCTTACAGAGCTCATGCTCCTAGCTAACTTGATATCCACTACCTCAGTTGAATTTACTGTCATTTCACAAGTTATCTACTTGATAAAAAAAAATTGACAACTGAAGTATGGTTATTTTGTTTGTGTGTGTTTCACAATCACCCTGTATGAGTGTCAGTGACTCAAATGAGCCACGCTGAGCAATGCAGAGCTAAAATCAGAGTATTTCATGATATGGCCAATTCCTAGGGTTATAAATGGACATATAAAACCATTTTTGGAAGAATTTTTGCTCTTACCTATGTTACATACCTTCCATGTAGGTATCAACTGACAATTTTAACATACAATGCATTCAAGGGCACCTTTAACACTATATATGTCAATTTCTTTCTCTGTATCAAACATCCAATATGATCATACTTGTCAATAGTTAAATAAACAAAGCAGAACGATCTTTTAGAAATTGGGTGTTAAAATCGAGATCATTTAAGAATTAATCATGCAGCTTTAACACACAAATGGCATTCTTACCCTAGAAACTGCATGCTGGAAGGCCCTAGAGAGATAATACGAGATGCGAGTCCTTCTCCCTCCACCAGAGGAGGAGGAGTGGTGAGTTTCTGCGGTTTGACTAGACGGCAGGTGATGCGTGTCGGGGCAGCGCAGGTGCGCGGTGGGATGATCACACGCAGACCATTATGTCTGCTGCCCCGCATTGACCCGCCTCTCGCATCCACCATGAAGCTGACCAGAAACCTGTCAAACAAGCAGCCGGTGAGCAAAATCAGACTCCTGAAGCATTAAAAAAAACATTAAAGCAATTCAAAAGAACTTTCTCCTAGATGCTTGATGACGGTGAAGACAGGTATAAAAATAAGCATTTATGACCAACAGATAAATACAACGGCGATAAAAGCAGAAAGAAGCCTTTAGTTTGTAACAACTGGAATAAAGATGTAACTATCCCAAATATAAAAATAATATAAATGTAAAATTCCCAAGATTGTTCAATATTTAAATTAATTCATTATTTATTTACCATATAAAGCAAAAAGTGTCTACTTTAGTGTCATGTGCAAATGACACTTAAAACGCCAACATCCTAATCCAAAAGAAAGATTTTTACTGTTTTTTTTTTTTACATTAAAAACATGCATTCATTAACTATCCATCCTATTCATTAAATATCCAATAATTTTGGCAACAATCCCCTTTTTGGACAAAGCTATTAGCCTACTTCAGTCTACAATATTAAAAGGGGCGGACTTAACCAATAAGCAAGGTAAGCAGTTACTTAGAGCACCAGGAAATTAGGGGGCCCTGACCAATCCCAAGAATTGCCTAAATTAATCATGTCTCATTTATACTTTTTGCATCATACGTTGTAAAATCTGTTAATAAGCATTAAGATTTTAATGTTATTACTTTTTTTCAAAACCGGGGGCCCTCATAGTGACATCCTTACTGCAACTTACTGTTGTACTGTACTGCATGCAAAAATTACATTTAATTACAAATATGCTTAACTGTACACATAGTTTGTGAACTTTTTTATTTGTGAATTTATTGTATTTAATTTCTACACTAGGAAAATAAAGGTTCTACTTAAAATATATTTTTAACGTGCAGTTTATTTAGAAAAAAAAAACTACAGAGAAAAAATATATACTTATAGAGAAAGAGAATGTTTCGAGTTTCAATGCTTGGAATGGAATTGCTTAGGGCCCCCAAATCACTAAGTCCGCCCGTGAATATTAATATAGTACATGTTCATGAGCTAAATGTACCAGTTGAGTCAGATGATATGCCAATCCATTTCAGATAATAAATGATCCGACAATGCTCTCCACAATGGATTTGGCACAATGCAATCACCCGGATGCTAAACTTATGCTTTTTTTCTATCTTAAAGAAAAGTAGCACAAAGTTTTTAATAAATGAATGTATAAATCACTTCATTTTCTCCATACATCTATTGTAGTTTTGCATATGCTTTTCAAAACTATACACATTAGTGACATCCATGCTTAATCAACCATCAATAAGGTCAATCAGTAATTAATTAGTCGTTTGCATCCCTAGTGTGGTTACTGTCACTTTGAGGTATTTTGACTGACAATGAATCATCTGCTCATTAGATTTGGTTAGGTTGCAGGTGAAACATGTGCACTGACCCAGTGTGGATGGGGCTGGCCACTGGGCTAACGTTGTCTGAGGTCTCTGTGGCAGGACTACTGGGGATTAGAGAGTCCTCGTCATACTCCTTTGGCAAAGGGACAGGTGTGTGCTGCAGACACGCAGGAGTGACAGATCACACAGACGCAAGACACACACACACAAACAGAGATACAATGACAGCTTCATGAGATGATAACTCTGTTTAGGTCATGGCAGCTGGTCAGGCGTTTACTTTCGAATAGTCGATAAAAAGCTTGACCAGTGGATTTCAAGCAGGGGTCCAGAGCTCATTATGCCCGAAAACTTTCAAAAGGGCCTCAAGATTGATTTAAAAACAAAACAAAAATACAAAACATGCATTAAATAATCAAACACCTTTAAATCCAGGTGGTCAGAGATACATTTCTATAGATACTCTATTGATACTGTATTCTAAAGATTCTATACAACAATCTCTCCCTCATTCTCAACATTCATCTCTTATTTTACATTTCTGTCTAATAAAGGCAAAAAGGCAATAAAAATAGTAATGAAAATAAGAATAATAAAAAAAGTGATACAATAATCAGGGGTTTTCAATCTTTCAGGTGCCGCAGAGCCCTAAATACAACCATCACCAATTTAAAACATCTATATCAAGCCAAACAACAACAACAGTAAAAAATAATAATACTAACTCAATATGGGTCTAAAATTGTTGTGTCTAAAATACTGGGTCTATACTGTATTTAAACTTTAATATATGCATTTAGTATATATTAGTTTCTATTAAGTTACATTTTAAATCATTATAAAGGTTGACCAGTGGATTTTAAATAGGTGTACAGGGCTCATTAGGGATGAAAACTTTCAAAAGAGTCTCTAATTTATTTAAAAAGAAAACAAAAATACAAAACATGCATTACAATAATCAAACAAAACATGCATTACAATAATCAAACAACCTTTCAACCCATGTTCCAGAAAGGCACCAAGTAAATGTCTTAGTGTAAACTTCTAAATTTACTTTTTGATTAGTAATATACATGGCTAAGGACTCAATTTGGACATCCTTAAGGGCAAATTTATCAATATATTTAGACTCATACACTATGGCCTATTTAGTTAATTCAATTCACCTATAGCGCATGTCTAAAATAAAATAAATAAATAAAATAAATAAAAAATAAAATAAAATAGTGGTGTTAGTGAGACCAGCAACCTGCGGTCTGTGGGGGTCCTAAAGCCTTAGTATATTTATGAGGACTCAATGAGCACCAACTTTCTGGTGAGACGTTAAACCGTAGTCCAGACTCCCTGTGGTCGTTAAAAATCCCAAATGGCCAAATTTGCCAACTGGCCTCTGTCCATCATGGCCTCCTAACCATCCCTATATCATAATTAGCTTCATCACTCGGTCTCTTCTCCACCAATCAGCTGGTGTGTGGTGTGCGGTCTGGTGCAATTAGGCTGCCGTCGCCTCATCCAAGTGGATGCTGCACACTGGTGGTGGATTAAAGCCCTTTAAGTGTCCAAAGCACTATATGAACGTAAGGAATTATTATATATAATATTATTATTATATTTATTGTTGTTGTGAACAGTACAGTAGGTGCTGTCAAACTGTTGATAAATGCTGCCAGAAACCAAGCAATGAAACTAAGTTCACTAGACAAATATCTTTCTGCAAGAAGCATTTCTTATTACAGCACATAACACAGAAAACAACTATACCTGGTCCAACATGACAGTTTCAGGTGACACGCATGGAATTCTGGGAATTGCAGGTGAGTACGGTCTGGAGAGAACGACGAAAATAGTTATAATCTGACTCATCACTTTATTTTAAAGAGATGGTTCTAGCATCTTAGCCAAAAGGCTTTGATTTGATTGTGCTCTAAAGTTGTGACCTACGTGGTGCCCATCCCGCTCTCAAAGTCTCTAAGGGTTTTCTTAGGCGACAAAAAATCATCATCCTGGTCTTTCAGGTCATCCAGCTTCAAATAGCGAGCCCCATCCATCCCGAGGAGTTCATCACCTACATACGGCACAAAATATATGTCACACACACTGATACGAGAGACTGGCAGGAACAAAAACAGGAAGGAAGAGAAGCTCATAAGTTATTTTAGCATTCGCAACCCACCATCATTCCCAATCGAGCACAAACATCACTTCACTCGTTCACCGAGTCCAAGCACATACACATACACATATATGTACATAGCCAATGGAAAACATGAAGAAATCAAGATACTGGATAAGATTGCATGGTACATTGGTTACTGAAGTGGACATGAAGAAGATCACACTTAATCTGCATGGGAGAGATTGCTTGGTGTTATTGTAGGGCCTTAATCACAGGTGTTCAGAGACGTGTAAAACAGCCACTGTGTCAGTTCATTTTGGAGCCCTCTGCTGAGTCAAATAATCATCATTAGTCAATTAGCAAAATTATCCACTCCCAGTGTGACTCCCATAGTGTTTGGATAAAGAGAGACTCATCTATGGGTGTTTCTTCAACTACAGGCCTTAATTATGTCCCAGCAGTTGATTGGTTTCATAAAATAGATGCGTTTCAATAAAAAAGTAATTTTTATATTGTTTTACCTATCCCTCAAAATATGAAAATCCATCACAAAAATATATGCAAAATATTGTCTATACAAAATGTACATATATAAATACAAGGAAGCAAAAAAAAAAAAGAATAAAATAAATAACTTGAAGTTTTACATTCATTTATATATAATTCTCAGCTTCCTTGGAATTTTTTGTAATAAATGTACTAATTATAGTGAAAACACTATTTTAATTTTATTCTGTAAGATACTGACTCATTTCATCCAAATTTTTTTGCATAAAATAATAAAAAGATGTCATGTTTTCAGGCAATTGTAGTGTTTTTTAGACTACACCATACAAATGTTTTAACTTTGGAAGATAATATCAAAATTTGGTGGAATAACCCGGATTTCAATCACAACATCAAGACAACACCAATTGCAATTTGTTTATGAGAAATTTTGAAGAAATGATATCAGACCTTTAAAGAATAAAAATAAGAATTTAATTATGGATTTTATGTGGAAGCAAATAAAACCATTTAATTTAATATAATTTGATATTATTTTTAATATTATTTTAAATTATAGTAAAAATATGGTTTAATGTAATTTTATTTATTTATTTATTGTCTTTTCGACTTAGTCCCTTTATTAATCTGGGGTCGCCACAACGGAATGAGCCGCCAACTTATGCAGCATATTATGTTTTACGCAACGGATGCCCTTCCAGCCAAAACCCATCACTGGGAAACATCCATAACCATTCACACACACTCATACACTACGGTCAATTTGAGCATTCCCAATTCACCTGTGCAACATTTCTTTGGACTTGTGGGGGAAACGGGAGCACCCGGAGGAAACCCACACGAATATTGGAAGAACATGCAAACTCCACACAGAAATGCCATCTGACCCAGCCGAGGCTCAATCCAGCAACCTTCTTGCTGTGAGGCGAATGTGCTACCCACTGCGCCACCTCGCCCCCCTAATTTTTTTGTTTAATTATATTAATTTAATTAGAATATAATATAATAGAAAAGAACAGAACAAAAGAGAACAGAATAAAATAGAACAGAGCAGAACAAAACAGAATACAACAGACCAGAACAGACTAGAATAGACCAGAAAAGAACAGAATATAAAAAACAGAACAAAACAGAACAGAATAGAACAGAACATAACAAAATAGACCAAAACAGAACAGAATAGAATAGACCAAACAGAACAGAACAGAACAGAATAGAGCAAAACAAAAGAGATGGTTCTAGCATCTTAGCCAAAAGGCTTTGATTTGATTGTGCTCTAAAGTTGTGACCTACGTGGTGCCCATCCCGCTCTCAAAGTCTCTAAGGGTTTTCTTAGGCGACAAAAAATCATCATCCTGGTCTTTCAGGTCATCCAGCTTCAAATAGCGAGCCCCATCCATCCCGAGGAGTTCATCACCTACATACGGCACAAAATATATGTCACACACACTGATACGAGAGACTGGCAGGAACAAAAACAGGAAGGAAGAGAAGCTCAGAAGTTATTTCAGCATTCGCAATCCACCATCATTCCCAATCGAGCACAAACATCACTTCACTCGTTCACCGGGTCCAAGCACATACACACACACATATGTACATAGCCAATGGAAAACATGAAGAAATCAAGATACTGGATAAGATTGCATGGTACATTGGTTACTGAAGTGGACATGAAGAAGATCACACTTAATCTGCATGGGAGAGATTGCTTGGTGTTATTGTAGGGCCTTAATCACAGGTGTTCAGAGACGTGTAAAACAGCCACTGTGTCAGTTCATTTTGGAGCCCTCTGCTGAGTCAAATAATCATCCTTAGTCAATTAGCAAAATTATCCACTCCCAGTGTGACTCCCATAGTGTTTGGATAAAGAGAGACTCATCTATGGGTGTTTCTTCAACTACAGGCCTTAATTATGTCCCAGCAGTTGATTGGTTTCATAAAATAGATGCGTTTCAATAAAAAAGTAATTTTTATATTGTTTTACCTATCCCTCAAAATATGAAAATCCATCACAAAAATATATGCAAAATATTGTCTATACAAAATGTACATATATAAATACAAGGAAGCAAAAAAAAAAAAAGAATAAAATAAATAACTTGAAGTTTTACATTCATTTATATATAACTCTCAGCTTCCTTGGAATTTTTTGTAATAAATTTACTAATTATAGTGAAAACACTATTTTAATTTTATTCTGTAAGATACTGACTCATTTCATCCAAATTTTTTTGCATAAAATAACAAAAAGATGTCATGTTTTCAGGCAATTGTTGTGTTTTTTAGACTACACCATACAAATGTTTTAACTTTGGAAGAGAATATCAAAATTTGGTGGAATAACCCGGATTTCAATCACAACATCAAGACAACACCAATTGCAATTTGTTTATGAGAAATTTTGAAGAAATGATATCAGACCTTTAAAGAATAAAAATAAGAATTTAATTACGGATTTTATGTGGAAGCAAATAAAACCATTTAATCTAATATAATTTGATATTATTTTAATATTATTTTAAATTATAGTAAAAATATGGTTTAATGTAATTTTATTTATTTATTTATTGTCTTTTCGACTTAGTATCTTTATTAATCTGGGGTCGCCACAACGGAATGAGCCGCCAACTTATGCAGCATATTATGTTTTACGCAAAGGATGCCCTTCCAGCCAAAACCCATCACTGGAAAACATCCATATCCATTCACACACACTCATACACTACGGTCAATTTAAGCATACCCAATTCACCTGTACCACATTTCTTTGGACTTGTGGGGGAAACCGGAGCACCCGGAGGAAACCCACACGAACATTGGAAGAACATGCAAACTCCACAAAGAAATGCCAACTGACCCAGCCGAGGCACAATCCAGCAACCTTCTTGCTGTGAGGCGAATGTGCTACCCACTGCGCCACCTCGCCCCCCTAATTTTATTTAATTATATTAATTTTATTAGAATATAATATAATAGAAAAGAACAGAACAAAAGAGAACAGAATAAAATAGAACAGAGCAGAACAAAACAGAATACAACAGACCAGAACAGACTAGAATAGACCAGAAAAGAACAGAATATAAAAAACAGAACAAAACAGAACAGAATAGATCAGAACATAACAAAATAGACCAAAACAGAACAGAACAGAATAGAACAGACCAAACAGAATAGACCAAACAGAATAGAACAGAACAGAAGAGATGGTTCTAGCATCTTAGCCAAAAGGCTTTGATTTGATTGTGCTCTAAAGTTGTGACCTACGTGGTGCCCATCCCGCTCTCAAAGTCTCTAAGGGTTTTCTTAGGCGACAAAAAATCATCATCCTGGTCTTTCAGGTCATCCAGCTTCAAATAGCGAGCCCCATCCATCCCGAGGAGTTCATCACCTACATACGGCACAAAATATATGTCACACACACTGATACGAGAGACTGGCAGGAACAAAAACAGGAAGGAAGAGAAGCTCATAAGTTATTTTAGCATTCGCAACCCACCATCATTCCCAATCGAGCACAAACATCACTTCACTCGTTCACCGAGTCCAAGCACATACACATACACATATATGTACATAGCCAATGGAAAACATGAAGAAATCAAGATACTGGATAAGATTGCATGGTACATTGGTTACTGAAGTGGACATGAAGAAGATCACACTTAATCTGCATGGGAGAGATTGCTTGGTGTTATTGTAGGGCCTTAATCACAGGTGTTCAGAGACGTGTAAAACAGCCACTGTGTCAGTTCATTTTGGAGCCCTCTGCTGAGTCAAATAATCATCATTAGTCAATTAGCAAAATTATCCACTCCCAGTGTGACTCCCATAGTGTTTGGATAAAGAGAGACTCATCTATGGGTGTTTCTTCAACTACAGGCCTTAATTATGTCCCAGCAGTTGATTGGTTTCATAAAATAGATGCGTTTCAATAAAAAAGTAATTTTTATATTGTTTTACCTATCCCTCAAAATATGAAAATCCATCACAAAAATATATGCAAAATATTGTCTATACAAAATGTACATATATAAATACAAGGAAGCAAAAAAAAAAAAGAATAAAATAAATAACTTGAAGTTTTACATTCATTTATATATAATTCTCAGCTTCCTTGGAATTTTTTGTAATAAATGTACTAATTATAGTGAAAACACTATTTTAATTTTATTCTGTAAGATACTGACTCATTTCATCCAAATTTTTTTGCATAAAATAATAAAAAGATGTCATGTTTTCAGGCAATTGTAGTGTTTTTTAGACTACACCATACAAATGTTTTAACTTTGGAAGATAATATCAAAATTTGGTGGAATAACCCGGATTTCAATCACAACATCAAGACAACACCAATTGCAATTTGTTTATGAGAAATTTTGAAGAAATGATATCAGACCTTTAAAGAATAAAAATAAGAATTTAATTATGGATTTTATGTGGAAGCAAATAAAACCATTTAATTTAATATAATTTGATATTATTTTTAATATTATTTTAAATTATAGTAAAAATATGGTTTAATGTAATTTTATTTATTTATTTATTGTCTTTTCGACTTAGTCCCTTTATTAATCTGGGGTCGCCACAACGGAATGAGCCGCCAACTTATGCAGCATATTATGTTTTACGCAACGGATGCCCTTCCAGCCAAAACCCATCACTGGGAAACATCCATAACCATTCACACACACTCATACACTACGGTCAATTTGAGCATTCCCAATTCACCTGTGCAACATTTCTTTGGACTTGTGGGGGAAACGGGAGCACCCGGAGGAAACCCACACGAATATTGGAAGAACATGCAAACTCCACACAGAAATGCCATCTGACCCAGCCGAGGCTCAATCCAGCAACCTTCTTGCTGTGAGGCGAATGTGCTACCCACTGCGCCACCTCGCCCCCCTAATTTTTTTGTTTAATTATATTAATTTAATTAGAATATAATATAATAGAAAAGAACAGAACAAAAGAGAACAGAATAAAATAGAACAGAGCAGAACAAAACAGAATACAACAGACCAGAACAGACTAGAATAGACCAGAAAAGAACAGAATATAAAAAACAGAACAAAACAGAACAGAATAGAACAGAACATAACAAAATAGACCAAAACAGAACAGAATAGAATAGACCAAACAGAACAGAACAGAACAGAATAGAGCAAAACAAAACAAAACAAAACAGAATAGAATTCAATCAAATAGAATCGAATAGAATAGAATATGTAATAGACTTGCGGAGTAATTTTTTTTATTGGATTATTTTGCTTTTGTTAATGAATTAGGCCAAATGGAACCATGAGCCAATGGTTGAAGAAACACTCTGTCACAAACAGTGATTTAAAAACGCAAAGTAATTTTGGATGCAGTCCTGTCAGTGATGGATCAACAGACACATGTTACTGTCAGTAAAGAACAACAAACGTCATGACCACACAATGATGAAGGGGTCGACGTCGTAATAACATAAAGCCACATGTTGGAATAGAGAGCAGTTAGAGAGACTTGAGGGCCAGAGACAAAATGAAAGCGCTTGAAATGGAGGCACACGTTTCACGAACCACTGAAAACCGGACAACCAAACCAGAGAGACGGAGACGCTCCTACCTAATGTTAGCTGAGCAACTCCTACAGCAGGGAGGAAGAAGGAACATTTCAGCCTGGCAATGCTGGCGTAATTTACAGCAAGTTTAGAATATCACAAAAAAATTGCTTTTGCTTCATTTAATCCTAAACAAAGTCCTGAATAAAGGGAAATAAATCAAATATCTCTCAGATAAAAAACAAACCTATTTGATGACTGTAGCCAAAGAAGCTTCAGGAGTCAAACAATGAAAAAACTGTTGAACTCAAGGAATTAAGGATGAATTTTAGTAGGGATTTTGGGCCGAAACCCAAAACCAATTATTCTGGATGTGCCTATACGTAAAACAGAAACCTAAAATGCTTTGAAGAAATAATAATTTTATTATTACTATTTTAATAAATAATTGTAAAAGAATTGTAAGACTTGTTTAAATTTAACTAATAATAATAACTAATAGAAAAAAACACAAAGACAATAAGCTAATTTTATTGGCAGTAAAATTTTAATGAGTTAACGAGAGATGTCATTTTAACTGTTGCCATGACAGCACAATAGCGCTATTGCAAGTAGCAGGAACAAGTATACTACATAGAAATGCCCTGTCAAGCAGGACTTTGCATTTCTATTGAGCATGTGCAGTTGAGACATAGATAAGCTTACATGTACATGAGCAGTATAAACACAGACAGGAATATTGAACTATTTTGACGCTAGTAAACGCCTCTGCTCTTGCTCTCGGTTGGCACAGCAACAAGCTGCCCTTGCTCAGTGCAAGCCATTGAAATGAATAGGTTTCTTAGCGCAGCGCTTTCCACATCCACTGTGAAAGCTGCTTCAGACTGAACAGTGACTATAGCTGGAGGGAGAGTGAAACCTGTGCGCCAACCCAGCATAGCCTTTTTCAGCACATGTATTCAGCCTTTTTGTGTGTTGCATTTTTGCAAAATTGTTTTGCAAAAAAAAATGATGTGCTTGGTGATTTATAAGATGTAAGTCAAAGGTTACCTGAACCTGAGAGTCAAAATTATAACAATAATTAGTACCCATGACTCCTGATGTTAAATTCAGTTATTATTAAATAAAAATTACCCGTCTAAAAACACACACCATTAGCAATAATTTACAACATTATTACCTGCAAACATTCCCTCAGGTAAATTGTCAAAAGTGATGTTGGAATTAAAAACAATTCATTCTCAGCTCAATCAACCAAAGATCCACAAGCTTCTCAGTCAAAACTCTCTTTTGGACAGTGATGAATTGAAATGGTGAATTGAAATCATTTAAATTCATTTTAGAAATGTAATTTAATTTTATTATTGGATGTTTTAGTAAAAAAAAAATTGTGTTAAACAAAAAAACAAACTACTGAACCAGTTATTTAAACTGGAAACTGTCCGTTGGGACCATTTCACAAAAATAAACAGGATTTCTTGTGACTATAAATTTAAGGTACAGTAATAATTCTGTAAATAATGTTTGTTTCACTTCAATGTATTGTAGAGAGCCATATATATGTGAGGGGTTGACTCTCAGAATGGAAGTAGCTGTTCATTTTTTTTTATTGATCTACAGTAGTCAACATTAAAAGTAGATCAAACAAGCTTATGAAAATTGCCTAAAACTATTACACAACAACCATACTTGTCTTAAGTTTTTTTACAAAACTTTTTGATTCATTTCAAATGTTGACTAATGTACTAACGAAAAAAAATTCACCTAAATCATGGATTGCCCGAGGTTGAGTAAATTAACAGCAAATTTTCTCGATTTTTGAGTCTACAGTCTACATTTTATTAAGTCATTCATCTTTAAAAAAATGTTTATAACTAGGGATGTCCAGATCCGATCACGTGATCTGAAATAGGGCCCAATCACATGGTTTCAGTCTCAATCAGAATTGAACATTACCTCCCGATCAGGACTCAAACACAGTTGAAGTCAGAATTATTAACACCCTTCAAATTTTTTTCTTCTTTTTAAATATTTTCTAAATGATGTTTAACAGATCAATGAAATTTTCACAGTATATTTGATAATATTTTTTCTTTTGAAAAAAGTCTTATTTGTTTTATTTCGGCTAGAATAAAAGCAGTTTTTAATTTTTTTTAAACACCATTTTAGGGACATAATTATTAGACCCTTTAAGCTATATTTTTTCTCGATAATCTACAGAACAAACCACTGTTATACAATAACTTGCCTAATTACCCTAACCTGCCTAGTTAACCTAATTAAGCCTTTAAATGTCACTTTAAGCTGTATAGAAGTGTCTTGAAAAATATCTAATCAAATATTATTTACTGTCATCATGGCACATCATGGAAGATAAAATAAATCAGTTATTAAAAATGAGTTATTAAAACTATTATGTTTAGAAATGTGCTGAAAAAATCTTCTCTCCGTTAAACAGAAACTAGGGAAAAAATAAAACAAGCGGCCTAACAATTCAGGGGGGCTAATAATTCTGACTTCAACTGTATATGTATATATAAACTCTTGTTACTTTTTAACACATCTATAGTTATGCGGTGACACAGAGTTAGACTTCTTTCTTGACTTCACACAGAAACAGCAACGCATGTGGCATGACATCACTTTGTTGCAAAGATGCTATTGGTTAAACTGGCAAAGTAGAACACGGAAGCAGCTTGAACCGGAAAGCGCAAGTATGTCTGCGGTCTGGAGCTATTTTAAAGTTGATAATCACAACATTGTCATAGCAAACTGTGAGATACGTAAACTTGGGATTTTCTGCCGTTTATTTTAAGTTGAGGTGCTGTTGAGGGTTTATATTAGGCTTTTTTTATATTTACTGTTGCACTAAAGTCCAAAAGTGAATTTATGTTATTTATTACTTGATTGTTCAAGCTACCTCACAGAAGTGCTCTGTTTGTTAACAGAGTTGTTGAATGTTAAAATAAGAAGAATTAAATAAAAAATAAAGAACATCCTGGATCTGTTTCTTCGCTCTTCTTTATTCTTTTTTATGTATTATAGAAGTATCAGGTTGGGTTTCGGTATCGGTAGATACTTAAAATCAAAATAACTCGGACTCGAGGGCAAAAAAACTGATCGGGACATCCCCATTTATAACTGACAAAATTTGATTTCATCTACACAAATGATCCTACATGTGTAAAACACATTGTGTAGTCAAGTACGTAGCCAAAACAGCGCTATGAGTGTGAGAAAATCTCTAACTGCTAGTTGTCATCAAACTGTCACTTTTAGGATATGACCCACCATCATATCTGCCTACTGGCTCATGTTTTTAATAGAGTCTAGCACCAACCTCATGGTACTAAGAAGTTGTCAGTGCAGCTAAGAATCAATTCTTTAATGTGGCATTTACTGCAGTATGATCCTTCAGGCTAAATCCAATCTGAGCCGCCTGTACGCACCTTCATCTTCAGATACGTCTAGTATTTCATCCACCGTCTCGGGGAAACTCATGCGATGCTTCTCTGTGGTGATCTGAGGGATGGAGAAGGAACATATGAACAAATCAAGATGGCAAATTTACAACTCTAAGATGATATCGAGATTAACCAAAGATAAAAGGCAACAGAACAAAAGTCACATATTCAGATCAGATACACTTTATGAGGTGCAAACGGCTCTCACCATTGATACGGATTCTTCAGTCACCAGTTTGAGCACATCAATCACAGAGATGTACCCTAGCCGCTTAGCGATACCCAGAGGTGACGTCCCATTCTGCCACAGAGAAAACACAGTTAGGTTAAAAATCTCACATGTGCATCAAATGGTGTAAAGTAACAATTTACAAATACTCAAAGTACTGTAATTGAGTAGTTTTTCTCAGAAATTGTACTCTACTAAGTAGTTTTAAAAATGTGTACTTTAAATTTCTCTTGAGTACATTTTTAGTGCAGTATCTGTACTTTTACTCCACTACTTTCCTTCAACCTGCAGTCACTACTTTATTTTTGCTTGTCTATGGTATTAGACAAGACCAAAATTAAAAGCAACCAAATATCAACATCTAATGATGTCACAGCTTGACGTTGTGTGGACGTTTCCACTATGAGATTTCTCTGATGCTGGATTTTGGTTGCCATACCTGATGAATAAATGTCAGTAATTGACGTCAGTATGACATTGGTTTAGGATGTTGGCCTGATGTTGAATTTTGGTCACTTTCTAACACAACCTAAAATCAACCAAATATCAACGTCATTTGATGTTGTTTTTGGTCATCACAATAACATTGTCCTTAGACGCTGGCTATACATTGAATTTTGGTCACCTGGCATCACAACCTATATCTAATCTAACATGAATGTTTTATGATGTTGTGTGCCTGCTGGGCAATGACTAAATGCACTACAGAATGTTACGTTTACACACATCCATAAATTACATTTAAATGCATCAGCTTTTTACAGCATAATACTCACCATTCTTGAGTACTTCTAAAATGACTAGGATTTACTCATACTTTAAGTAATATTTAAAACAGATACTTTTACTCTAGTTGCACTACATTTTTAGGCAAGTAATGGTACTTTACTTGAATATGATTTCTCAGTACTCTTCCCACCAATGTCTGTATCTGATGAAAAATTATTCTATATAACCATATAGAACTCTAACCCTAATCTGTCTCATTTGGTGGCGAGAGCAGTGTTACAGCAACCATACTAACTCGATACATATACCTTGAAATATAATTCCTCAATTAATCAAAATTTCAGGATTCATAAGGACAAAAAAAAAAGTATTTTAATGCATTAAATTTGATAGGAAAACACATTACTATAATTTTGAGGGCTACAATTAACAACATACAGTACTAAGCACAACCTTTTAAATTCCTTTGGTTCATTTATGGCACTCTAAATCTAATTATATATAAACTAAATGAAACAAATATCATAACAGTATATGCAATATAAAAGTTTTTAAAGGTTATAACTTTTCAATAACAGCTTACATTTACTGCAAAAAATTGTGTTAAAGCAGGACTGTTCAAGAGAACAAACCATTTATACAATGTTTTATTTTTTTTTTCCAAGTAAAAATGGTTGTATTTCAAGTATAGGTAAGAGGGTCCGCTCACAGTGGTGATCTCATTGGGCAGAGCTCCATGTTTCAGCAGCAGGGTGACGATGTCTGTGTGCCCCTGCTGGGCTGCTTGATGTAAAGGAGTGTATCCCAACTGAAAAAGGAAGATGAGGGAGAAAGAGAATGCAAAAGTGCTTAATGTACCAACACTGAAAAGGCCTGTGTATGATGCATCCAGAAGTAGAACACTTACTCTTGTCTTGCTGTTTACGTGAGCTTGCTGCTGGAGTAAGAACTTCACCATCTTTATATTCCCGTAATGGCACGCCACATGTAAGGGTGTGTAGCCCATCTAAGAGAGAAAAGTGAGAGGTTTAAAAGGGTGTAAATGATAAAAGAAAGAAAGTGAATGAAGAAATGAGTACTTCCAATGCATATAGATGATCAGTGGCATTTTAATATGTGAAGAATGAATAATGAAAAGGTGAAAGGTCACAGATGAATTTTAATACATCTCATAAAATCTGTAGTAGCTCTGTTTGCCAGAACAAGCAATATCATTACTATGCTGATAGAGTTAGTTTCATATTCAGACAAATTGTTAACAACACATACATAAATAATACCTAAAACTTTACACCATACACTGGAGGAATTTCATGTTTAAAGTGACAGTTCCCTAAAAATTTTTAATTTACAGTTAATTTACTCACCCTCAGGCCATTGAAGACGTAGGTGACTTTTTTCTTCAGTAGAACATTAAAGAAGATTTTTTGCTGAATCCGTGGTCCTTAGTGGTTCATTAAATTTAAGTCAATCTCCATTTATGAGGATAAAATTAAACACGAAAAAGTCTAAATCAATCCTAGCAGATCCTGATGAAACACTGAGGTCCTATGAAAAAAACTTCTTAAGGTCTTTTGGGCAAACATTTCTCAGTGCTACGACAAGTGGAGTGTGTGCAAGCTTCCAGTCGCTTAATGACATAGAAATGAGCGTCCACTTACATTTATTTGAATGGAGTGATGTCTGTGAGAGCAGTTACTACATCAAAGTAGCTCAATAATCCACTCTGTGTTTGTACTGCTCATGTAAACGTATACTTATCTATGCCTCAACTGTACATGCTCAGCAGAAATGCAAAGACCTGTGCAGTAGGACATTAACAGTTGAAGTCAGAATTATTAGCCTGCCTAAATTATTACTCCCCCTGTTTATTTTTTCCCCAATTTCTGTTTAACAATGAGCAAATTTTTTTCAATGCATTTCTAAACAATAGTTTGAATAACTCATTTTTAATAACTGTAATAAGCTTGTAATAGCGCTATTGTGCTGTCATGGCAACACTTAAAAGGATTTTAATGATGATTAAAATCATCTGGCTTGTCACTTCACACTTGAGTGCACACGCCATCAAGCAACCAGAAGCTTGCATTCACTAGTTTTGAGTGCAACGAGAACCTTTTGATATTGTAAATATTGCACAGAATGAACATTTCACTTCATAAGATAACAGTATATCACCAGGAACCACAGGGAGTAATTTGGACTTGTTTGTATGTTTTTAACCTCAAAAACAAATGACCATTGACTTGCATAATATGAATCACCATGGACCATAAATTCAGCTAAAAATCTTCTTTAATATATCATTGCCAAAGAAAGTTACCCACATCTTCAATTGTCTCAGGATGAGTGAATTAACAAAAACTTTTCATTTTTGAGTAAACTCACTATTTTTCGTCTTAGCTGATTTATCAGGGGTTGCCACAATGGAATGAACCGCCAATTACATTGCCATATGTTTTATGCAGCGTATGCCCTTTCAGCCACAACCCCATTTTTGGGTGAGCTATCCCTTAATTAGTAGAATATCAATAAGATTTGAGGGTAAGATTCTTTGAACTGCCTCAGTAACTAATCCCTCAGACACCCCAGCAACAGCACAGCAACAATCTAAAAAACACCTTGGCAACCCCTAACTCTGTAAGGCCCCGTTAACACTAATACGTTTTAGTTTTAAAACAGCTTTTTAGAATGAAAACAGTTCGCGTCTCCACCGACGTTTTACCCAGTGTTTCTAAACAACTCTGTGTCTACATTACACCCCTGAAAACGCACATCATGGGACCACACACACACACACTCTAGCATGCACTGCAGCGTGCTTTGAGCACATCTACCCATATGAAAGCTGTCCATGTCAGACTGTATATCAAGGATCTACCGCCGGATCTAATCTCACTATCTCTAAACTCACTACATTTGTTAAACGTTATATTTAATTAATCTTGTTGTCTATATCTAACAACATATTTCCCAACTTTGGTCTTTTGAATCTATTTCTTATTCTGGTAATGTGTTTTGGCTGGGCGCAAAGATAAGTTAGGTTAATATATAAATTAATGTAACCGCGGACACTGATTCTGCATAATGACTGATTGCTTGCCTTTATTTCCTATATTGTATAAACTTGTTGTATGTTATACTTTTATAATGGCCAATATTGATTATTAAAACTGATATTCAGTGTAAGAGACAGGGTATGTTTCATATTTCTTAATGAAAATGAAAGGAGGCAGTAATGGCATCGGCTCTGCTTTGTTATAAATATTCAGGAAGATGAAGGACATATAAATATGTAGCTAAAAGACGCCTCAACATTTTTAGTGTTAAGTTAATATCAAAATGAAAATAGGTAGTTCTTTATATCATGTTTTCATTTTATTGTTAAGAAAGTGAAACAACGTAGCCAGGGTGATGTGAATGAGGTTATAAAGTACAGTACACTGTTCCCTTTATAAGATTTACCCGATGTGTCCTCTGGAGTTTGTTTTTCAATTCTAACTTGGGAAGTCTGAACTTACAAAGAGAGAATGCAGGACTGAACTGTGAGTAGGCTACTTAATATTGAGAAAAAAGCCCCAATCAGATTTTCTCGTTTTCAGACGTCTCTGCTTTCTCCCATCCACACTGAGACAGAGCAGCAGCGTTTTAGAATGAAAACAGCCTCTTCAGCATATTCAACACGCTGTTTTCGGCGCTCGTAGTGTCAGCGTAGTGTGGACGGATGGCGTAACCGTAACAAAACTAATACGTTTTAAAACTAAAATGTATTAGTGTAAACAGGGTCTAACTCTATAGCAACACCCTATATAACTCTGTTAACCCTAGATGTCTCACAACAACCCAAAACCCTCACAGAAACACCCAAAGGAAACAGAGAATCAACACCTCTAAACAAACAACATTTAACAACACTTCACAACAACAATCTAAAACATTTAATATGGGGTGTATTAAGTTTTTTAGTTTGTTGTTGTACACCGGAGTAGCAATGCTTTAAAACACTCAGAACATGTTAGCAAAAAAAAACTGTTTATCAATGCTCAGTGCTGATTTCTTTACTCCAAACTTTTTGTGAATAAAAAGATATACTTTTGTTGTTGATTTAGCAGTGACATAGGCTGCATTACACAAGGCTCTAAGGTCTGTATTCTAGGACATTTTACAGATGGCTCTGCAGAGTGAGTGTGTGTGTTTCTGTACGCAATGTCTTACCCTTGAGGCTGCATAGACTGAAGCACCTTGCTTCACCAGCATGTCTGCAATGCCCACATGCCCTTCCTGAGCAACCAGGTGCAGAGGCGTCAGCCCATTCTGTACAAACACACACACATAAATTAAAATGATATCAGAAGGACATTAAATTATACGCTGGATGTATTCAACATAGGATGTATTCTATGTTGTTTTATCTGTTGTTTTCCCTCTGTTTTTTGATCATTTGTTTTTAGGTTTGTCCAGCACAATGGTCAACGACAGTTGTTTTATTGTGCTTTATAAATAAATAAACTAAACTAAATTAAATGACTCCCCTTGCCGTTTTACATTTGTTCATTGACTTAACTGAATATCAATTAATCAAAACCTAAACACCACATCACCTTGTTGCCTAGATTAACATTGGCCTGTTTGGAGATGAGCAGTGCCACCATGTCAGGTTGTCCCTCCTGTGATGCCAAATGAAGAGGGGTGATGCCCTGTAATGACTCTGAGTTGGCATTAGCTCCATACTGCAGCAAACTGCTCGCCACCTCTAGTTGGTTCTGCTTGGCTGCGATATGCAGGGCTGTGTAGCCGTTCTGTCCAAAAGCAGAAAAGTAAAAGCGACATTATTTCTTTTAATAGGGTGAAATGGACTGGTATCAGCAGCTCAGAATATTCAAGACATTAAGAGGTGCATTTATGTATCTTACTCTCGCCGTGCTGTGCGGAGAGCCACCCTTGCTGACCAGCAGCTTGACTACATCAAGGTTGTTGTGATGGACGGCCACGTGCAAAGGGGTCAAACCATTCTGAGAAGGAAGAAAAAAGACACATGTCCTCAGTCAGCTGATATTAGAAAATGAGGACTGAGATATCAGAGGTTTGTCTTAATAAATTACCTTTCCAGCTGCATTGGGATTGGCCCCTCGTTCCAAAAGCAGCTCCGCCACATCCACTTTTCCATATTTACATGCTACATGTAGAGGGGTAAATCCTTTCTGTAAGATAATGCAGGAAACAAAAAGTTTATATGAAGATTATTAGTGGACATTTTAATAGAACATATTATTTAGGATTTCTTACAGCACAATTTTGTTTCAGTTCCCAGCCAACAATTTTGTGTTTAATAGACGTCTAATAGACATCTAAATGTAGACAGCTTGGCTAAAACAAGGCTAAACTTGGGCTGTCAGTAAAAATCTAAAAGACATCTAAGAATAGCCCAAAACTTGACTAGTCATCAAACAGACAGATTAGACAGACTTTATGTGTGTAGTCATTCAATTCTGTTTATTTGATGACTAGTCTAGCCAAATATAGCCTTGTTTTAGCCAAGACGACTATGTTTAGACGTCTATTAAACATCAATTAGACATCTTTTAAAAACAAAAAATGCTTGCTGGGTTACTTTAAAATATTACCTATAAATCATAAAAAATGTGAATTACCCATTGTTAAGTAAGACATAAGAGGCAATTGCTCTTGCAAAATAAAGCCAGACAGGTTAATAGGCTATTGTATAAGACTGAAGGGCTTTAATCTGCTAAAACAACACCTACGTACATGTACATTATTCAGCTTATTACAAGGCTACTTACCACAAAAGTAAACAATGGGACACAAACATTGATCTGATCTGTAATAATTTACTAACTCTAAACGTAAAGTTTGCAAAATGGTCAAAAAAGTGTCATGACAGACAAGCATATACTAAATACATATGATGAGCCTTTAATATTACTTTTAGCAGCTGTTATCTGATAATAAAATCTTAGGAATTTTGTGATGGACCAATCAGAATCAAGTATTCTAGAGCAGTGGTTCCCTAAGTGAGGGTTGGGACCCCTCAGGGGGGATGCGGGACATTGAGGGAGGGTCACTTGGTGCTTTCCAAAAATCAAATTCACTTTATTAAACTATTAGAATTACCATATTTTATCTGTAACTTACAGAAGAAAAAAATATTAGTTAATAGTTATATTAAAAAAAACTACATACAAATAAAAACCCATCAGCCTTTAAATTTTTTTTGCGACCACTGGGGTGATTACGTTATATTTAAGACACAGCATATTGATTTTATGGCACCAGGTTAAACTTTTTGACACTTTTTTTGGCACTCACGTACATTAAAAATTATTACAGGCCACAACTGAACATGATCTCCGAGTGGCATTCTTTAAAATTAAAAGCTGAACAGACTAGAGCCTATTGGTATGTGTGCGCCATTGTACGCAAAGTATCCGAGGATATTGGGGGTCGTGAGTCATTAGCAGTATTATTTGGGGTGGGGTGGGGGGTTGGGGGGGGGGTGTGGGGGTCGCAGGCTTAAAAGTTAGGGAACCGCTTTTTTAGAGAGCCAAGTAACAAGCCAAGTAACAAGAGCCAAGTAACAAAGCAAACTTGACTGCTAACTTAAAGTTTACAAAATGTAAGTTTTTAAACTATTTATTGTGCATTACATTTATAAAACTTGTTTCAACAGACACAAATATTTTGAGTACATTATAAAGTGCCTTCATAATCCTTAAAATAGCTCAAAATAACATTCCATCCATCTTCTTCTACTGTATGGTTATGTATTTACTAACATGAGTGCAGATAAGATCCACCAATAGCAAAAGACCAGTTATCCAACCATCCAATCACATCCAGATAGACAAAATCAACAACATTCTGCCTTGTTCAAGATGCCGTTTCACTTTGATAGCAGAAAAAATTATATACCCGCCTAGTTCAAATCTAGGTCTGTTTACACAACTTTCTTTTCAGGAAGGGTTTAGTGAAAGTTAATTGAGAGGCAGGAACCTTGGTCATTTTGGTTTGTTGTGCATTTTCGTCAAGCAGAATGCGTGTGGTTTGAGCATGTCCCTCGCGGGCAGCGATGTGCAAAGGAGTGTGTCCTGCCGTGGTGGCCGAATCTGGATTGGCCTTATGTTCCATGAGCAGCTTCACCAACTCCTTATGTCCCATTCGAGCGGCACAGTGCAGGGGGGTTTGATCATCCTGTGAACAGAAAGCAAGTGAAAGAGGTATCATGAGATTGTTCAAACAAAAGCATATAAATGAAGATAAAACATCTTGCATGTCTGGCATACCTTAGCTTTGGCATCCACCTGTGCATTGTTTTGTAGCAGGAACTGAGCCACTTCACAATGCCCCGCTCTGGCAGCCATGTGCAGAGGGGTCTCCACTTTCTAAAAAAGCATTTAAATACAGTCAGTTCTGAAAAGGACACTGTGATCACTGCCATAATCACTGCTAAAGATGTTAGACTGTTTGTAAAGCAGGATAGCTCTGCCGCCAGGATTTGGCTGTTCGATAACTCTGAGGTGCTAAACAAATTACACAAGTCTTACCACATTAGATGCGTTGGGCGAAGCTCCTCTCTGAAGGAGACTCTTTACTATGTTGAGATGACCCATGAACGCAGCTACATGAAGAGGAGTCAGACCCGACTAAAAGACAAAAAATAAATAAATACATCAAATAAAATGTTTGTTTAATCACTCATAGCTGAACCGCTGAATATATGTATGGTATTTAATTTTAATATAATTGAATATAATAATTAAAAATATGATGTAAACATATATGTATGTATGTATATATATATTATATATTATATATATATATATATATTATTTATATATATATATATATATATATATATATTTATTTATTATATATATATATATATTTTTTTTTTTTTATATTTATATATATATATATATATATATATATATATATATATATATATATATATATATATATATATATATATATATATATATACATACATATACATATATGTTTACATCATATTTTTAATTATATATATATATATATATATATATATATATATATATATGGTCTAATATATATGGTGACATTTTTAGCACTAACGTGATTCTTCAGAAATAATTTCAATATTGTTTTTAGAATACTATTCATATTAGAAAAGGTTTACAGCTAACAATTTTGTGGAAACTTTGACACATTTCCCTTTAGCACTTTTTGATTAATATAAAGTATAAAAAGTGACCAAAATAAATAAATTATGTGACGTTTATGTGATGTGACAAGTGATTTTCTTTTCTTAAGAATGTTCTTTCAAGCAAATTAATATGTCTATGCTAAATAAAGGCATTAAAGTGGTCCTAGTGTGATTATATATTGTGTTCAACCTTTTACAAGATTTTGTTTCTGTGCAGATTCAACTCAAAATATTTATTATGTTATAATGTTACACTGTAAATGCACTTTTAAGGGTAGAAGTAGACATGTTTTTGTGTGCGTCTCTATATATGCAAATGAGCTGCTCCTACCTTCCACCTTTTTCAAGAAGAGAGTGGAGCCTTTACAGTTCATACTTCTGATACTTGGTAAAGACTAGATAGGATACAGCTGCAGATGCACACATCAATATAGCAACATTTTTGTGACACTGTATAACAATAATGGTGGCATGATGGCTCAGCGGTTAGCACTGTCGCCTCACAGCAAGAAGGTCGCTGGTTCGAGCCCTGTCTGGTTCAGTTGGCGTTTCTGTGTGGAGTTTGCATGTTCTCCCTGTGTTCACATGGGTTTCCCCCAGGTGCTCCAGTTTACCCCACGGTCCAAAGACATGTGCTGTAGGTGAATTGGGTAAGCTAAATTGGCTGTAGTGTATGTGTGGAAGGGCTGGAAGGGCATCTGCTGTGTAAAACATATGCTGGATAAGTTGGTGGTTCATTCCGCTGTGGCGACCTATGATAAATAAGGGAGCTAAGCTGAAGAAAAAGGAATGAATGAATAAATGAATGAATGAATAAATAACAATAATTAAATTTTATACAGTACTGTGACAGTTGGGTTTAGGGTTAGGGTAGGAGTAGACGTTAAAAAACATCTTAAATTTTATTGTGTAATTTAATAAATAATATAAATAATACTTGGTAACTACTTACATTACATTAATGTGACAGTTGAGTTTAGGGTTTGGGGTGGGGCTAGACGTTAATACAATACAATTACTGGAAATTTAATAAATAATATAAAAATTGTCATTAACTTCCAGCCGCAACCATATCTGATAATCTAGCAACAAACCAGATACTTTGATAACATCCCAAAAAAATATCTGCATGTGTTTTAAAGTTATGTCAGCCTTAAGTTATGCTGGTTTAGTTTTCTGAGCATCATGTTGATGTGACCATTTGGGGAAAAAAATAATTTTAAAAAAATCACACATATTTCTTTATATTAGGTGTGAATGAAAAAGCATCTCTTGGACATCAAGACAACACACAGTTACCTTGAATATACCTTAGGCAGCCACTATTTGAATTGATATTATTATATACAGTGTTTTCAGAAGAAATTTCAGGACTGCAATTGAGGAGTTTTGAACAGAAAAATAGTAACACTAATATGTCGAAAATCTTTAAGATGTCACTGTTCCTTCCTACATGGGCTTTCTATTTTCTTCAAGGGTCAAGCTAAAGGCGTAGCTGGTGCAATGTGAATAGAGGTTATCCATCAAAGTGACAGGCGGAGAGTAATCTGACCTCAGTCACAGCCTCTAGAGATGCCGAATGCTTCAACAGAAGGTCCATGGATCGCATGTGGTTCTTCTTGCAAGCAATGTGTAACGGAGTAAATCCATTCTAAAAGACACCAAAAATTCAACTAGTATATTATAAAGTAACAAAGTTCAGCAGTGAACACATTTATTAAGTAAAATAATTACATCAACATCAAATATATAAATACAGTTGAAGTCAGAAATGATGACAGTAAATAAAATTTGACTAAATATTTTTCAAGACACTTCTATACAGCCTAAAGTGACATTTAAAGAATTAACAAGGTTAATTAGGATAACTATGCAGGTTATGGTATTTAGGCAAGTTATTGTATAATGATGGTTTGTTCTGTCTTTGTTTTTAGATGCTATCACAGCCATTATTACATCAGCTTGCGGTAATATTTAATAGTAATACTTAAGTTTGGGGACCAATTGTCACTATTTGGCTGCTTAGCACAATTCAAATTTATAGCCTTATTCTCAATGAATATATTTTGGATTCTTTTACCCTTTTAAACAATCACAACTACATTACAAACAGTAAAGTAAACATCATAGTTAATAGTTATTTATTTATATTGTTAAAGTTTTAAATATTTCCCAAATTATGTTTAACAGAGCAAGTAATTTTTTACTGTATTTCCTATAATATTTGCTTAAATTATTATTAAATAATAATGCTTTATTTCACCTAGAATAAAAGCAGTTTTTTACAAACATTTGAAGATCAATATTTTTAGTCCTCTAATATTTGTTTTCAATTGTCTACAGAACAAACCATCATTATACAATGTTTTTCCTAGTTACCCAAACTTGCCTAGTTAACCTAGTTTTAAACTGCAGTTTGAGCTGAATACTATAGCATCTTAAAAAAAATTCAAGTAAAATATTATTTACTGTCATCATGGCAAAAATAAAAGAAATCAGTTATTAGAAATTAGTTAAAAATATTAAGTTTAGAAATGTGTTGATTAAATCTTCAGAAAATGGGACATAAATACACAGTGGGGCTAATAATTCTGACTTCAACTCTATATAATAAACAAGAAAAAACAAAAAAACAGCAGAGAGAAAAGGACAGATGCACTAACCAGAGCGCGGGCATTAGCTTTTGCCCCCTTGTCCAGAAGCACCTTGACCATGCGGTGGTGCCCACAGTGTGCTGCAACATGCAGTGGGGTAAGGTGGTCCAGAGTGATGTCATCAATCTCCGCGTTGTATTGCAGCAGCTGCCTCACGCAGTCCATGTGATCGCCCTGTGCTGCCATGTGGATGGGAGAAAGACCGTTCTAAAAGGGGGAACACATTATTAGAAATTGAACTGCGTGATTACTATAATGCCAAGATAGAAATAGACATTTAAAAAACAAATATATTATATATATTATATATTATTTATAATATAAACAATAGAAACCATCATAGATCTTATAGATAGAGAGTTCTAAAGTTTGTTATGAAATTATTTAGGTTAAAATGTAAACTTTACCTTAAAACTTGGAAAAAAATGATTCTTCAATTCGTGTTGTGTTAATACTAGTAAATCACCTTAAAATAAGTCTTGAAACACACTTGAAACTATTCAATATCCTGGTTTTAATGGTTATACTTGAATGATTTGTGATGTTTGTAATGATATTAATAGTGAAATCCATTAAAACTGAGTGTTTTTCAGCACATTGAAGTGAATATTTTACTAAATCATTGTATTCACTACAGTCCTTGATTTTGCTGTATTCCAGGCACCAATATTATAACCATTTATTAAAGATGAATCACTGTCTACACCATCTGTGCTTGGATATAAACATTACAATTATGATTTTCCAACAGAATTTGACACACTGTGAGCATAAATTATTACCAACATTTGCCAACAGATAAAGCTTTTGGACCAGGAAACTGTGACTAGTGACATCCTATCAAACCATTGGATCTTTACCTTGGTTTTGGCCTGAAGAGGTGCTCCCTGGTCAAGCAGGATCTCCACCACACGAACATGGCCGTTACGGGCTGCACAATGCAGCGGCGTCAGCTCATCCTGCAGATTATGTAAAAAAATATATGATTTTGTAGAAATCCTCAGTATGACGAATTTATCAGCCAAATATCTACGTGAGCAGCATCTTCTGTCATTTTTTATATGTGTATGAAAGCATACCATTAAAACAGCAAGTTGTCACAAAGAGAAAATACCTGTTTTTCCCAAGAGGAAGTAAACTAGGTCATTCTCCACAAGCCAGACTTAAATAAGTCAGATTCAGCAGTCTCAGCAGCGTGATTTTTTATATCTCAGACAGTAAATAATGTCACTGTGAGATATGATTACGGTTGCTAGTTAGCCATTAAACCAACCAATTTATCTTTTTAGATTTTATTTTGTAATTTACTGAAAAAAACACCAGATCTAACTTTATAATGTTCAATCAGTCTCATTTTGGTTTTTAATTTCTCATTCACACGTGTGAATTTTTATAGCATTATAAAACATTATTATAATAAATATATACTGTACATTAAATATCAATAATATCACCCAATAACAATACAATAAAATACATTATTATTTTTATTATTATTATTATTATTATTAATGGGGCGACACGGTGGCTCAGTGGTTAGCACTGTCACCTCACAGCTAGAAGGTTGCTTGTTCGAGTCCTGGCAGGGTCAGTTGGCATTTCTGTGTGTTTGCATGTTCTCCCTGTGATCGCATGGGTTTCCTCCAGGTGCTCCGGTTTCCCCTCACAGAACAAAGACATGCAGTATAGGTGAATTGAATAAAACTAAATTGGCCGTAGTGTATGTGTGTGAATAGGTGTGTGTGGGTGTTTCCCAGTACTGGTTTGCAGTTGGAAAAGCATCAGCTGTGTACAACATATGCTAGAATAGTTGGCAGTTCATTCCACTGTGGCGACCCCAGATAAATAAAAAGACTAAGCTAAAGGAAAAAGAATGAATGAATTAATTATTATTAATATATATAAAACACATACTGACATGCCAAGTACCATTTTTGGTGTTTGATTCAAATTAAATGGACTAAAATTACTTTTTTACGTACATAGAATCACATTAAATTCGAGCGTCTTATTTATGTTTTACATATCTTTTGTGAAAATGACGACAAAATATGGGTGATGTCATAATATGCTGAAATATTGTTAGTCGTTAGTGGGTGTCTTCTTTAAATCATATTACAAAAAACTGTAACTGAAGGAGGCTTTCACAGAGGAGTGAATCCAAATGCAGATTTATTCAACAGAATGGTCAGACAGGCAACAGTCAACACAGCAGCAATCAGGTTCATACAGTAAATCCAGAAGTCGACGTCAATTAACAGGCAAAATCGGATAAAGGCAAGTTAAACTATTAACAAGGCTTGGAGTAAAGGTCATAAAACACAAGAATCAAAAAGCACGGCTAGACGAGGAAATGAAAATGGTACGTAAAAGTTACAGGTTAATTTTAACCAACAAAACAAACAAACAAACAATCAGCAATGTGTATGAGCAAATGTGGTGTATAAATAGTCTGTGTAATGATTCCTTGAGCAGCTTCAGCAGTGAGTGTTTGCAATCACATGAAATTAGGAACTGGTGTGTGTGCGGGGTGCATGTTGTGATTTGTAGTCCGTTAGGTGGCAGAATTGTAGCTCTCCAGCGATTCGCAGTAGCTAGATTGCTGGTGACTGAAACACTGTTAATGTTTTGCAACATATATTTTAGGACCCATTTTTGTCTTTGTCCCATATATACCATTTCAATGTGGAGATGTCATTAGTCCATGAACCTTTCCTGCTTGTTGTCAAACTATCTGATAACTGTAACAAGAGGCAATTTAAACATACGGCAATGTTAAAACAGCTATCATTATTTATTTATTAATATGTGGCTCTTTTTAGATTATGTGAAGCTATAGAAATTAAAAATGTAAAACAGAAAATACAATGGGTCCATGTTTTTGTTTACCTCCCTCAAACTGGTCTATATAGGCATCTTAGTACAGATTAACGATATCATTCATATTTTGAATTCACATCTATTTTTATATTTTCAGTTTTAAAGTACTTTTGTGGTGTTTTTGTCATTCATATTAATGTATTTGGTTTAAAATATACTGTGTTAATTTAATTTTAATTTATATTTCTTTATTTTATTTAATATTTTTGGTAATTTAAGTTCTTAAACTTAATTTTTAGTTACTAGACAAAGCACTTTATAGAATTTTATTTCACAATTATTACATTTAACAAACACATTTCAAACACACTTTATATGAACTGCTCTTACTGTATATTCAATACAAACATTTACATTGTTATTGTATAGATATTAGGACATCTAACTAAAAGTGGGACGAAATATTTATCAGTTTAACACTGCAAACTGCAGACTATTTGGTTATGGTAATATTTTGAAGATCGCTAATGGATGCCTTACCTTTGTCTTGGCATCAATCTGAGCTCCTCTGTCCAACAGCAGCCGCACCATAATCACATTCCCTCTCCTGGAAGCGATATGTAATGGAGTGATGCCATTCTTCAATAAAAAAGACAAAGTAAGAAATTGTGCAAGTAGTCTATCTATTATAAAGCAGCATTTAACATTAGAGTTGAACTGACCTTGGGTGTGAAGTTCACATTGGCTCCCCTGTTTAACAAAAGCTGCGCGACACTGAGATTCTCATAATGAGCTGCGATGTGGAGAGGGGTAAATCCGGTCTGTCGGAATAGAGTGTAGCATTTCATTGATTCAGTATATGTACAAAACAAAAACACCTACGCTGACGGATATCTAAACAAAGTCAGTTCTGTTTATCTTGTCACATACTCATCACTGCAATTACAAGCCAAGAGTGGCTGCACTGAGCTCAGTGAGTCATGATGCGTAATCCTGCAGAAGCACACATACTTTGCTGAGGACATCTGGGTTTGGGTCGTTCTGGAGGAGTACGGCAGCGGTGCGTGTGTCGTCGTTTCGTGCTGCGATATGTAGAGCCGGCAGACGCACTTTTCCTTTGGTGCCATAATTTATCAGGAGCGCCACCACATTTTCGTGACCCTGCTGAAGAGCTACTGCTAGAGGAGTAAAGCCGTCCTGGAGGGAGAGATCAAGAGGTGTAAATTATAGTAGTGATATCCTGGTTATTTACAGTACAAATTTTTACATGTACCCAGCAGACACCAGACGTCACACAGGCGTAAAATTGACGTTAGACTCCAATGTCAGACTAACCTTGAATATTGGTTGTATATGAAAATCGAGTTGACGTCAGAACCTAATGTCAGTTTGAGGTTAGACTTCAACGTCAAAATGAATTTTAGCTTATGATGTTAGCCTTTGACATTGTATGGACGTCACATTATGACATTAAAGTGACATTGAACTTTAGTTACAGTAGGTAATTACTATAGGTGGGCATATATTATTTTTTTAACCTAGATTAATCTCACTGTAATCTTGGACTGTATCTCGATTAATGTAGATTAAAATGGCTTATTTGTTTTCTACCAAGGGCATTCAGAATATGTGTGCTACCCAAATAAGGACTAAAAGTTAGTCTTTGAGCAAGGGTTTCTCAAGCCAGGTGGCGCTTTAGACCAGGGGCTCATCTCCTGTTTTTTAAATGCATCACAAACTGCTTAAGAATCTGTTCCACTATGATAATTGGTGATGAAAATAAAATAATGTTCAATAAGATGTGCTAGTGTTTACTAACTGTTGATTCAGTTAAACATGAATTTCAAACTGTAGGCCTACATAAGCTCCAAACGATTTTTGATTACCTTAATCCGACTAAAGTAATAACTGAACTAAACAGAAATAGAATAAAGACATGTGGAGTATGCTTATATTAGTGGCATTATTAAAGTAAACTCCGCAATCAAACTATTACCGTCATGTAGGACTTTTCGCCATATTTTCCGACAAGATCCACACATGTGGCTGACAAATCGCAAAATGCGGAATTATTATTACTATTTTCTATTTGGTGTGCGTTATTAAATTCCATATGACTCTCTCCAGTCCTTATTCCTTATTTGCGTCTAATACCCCAGTTTGTCATGGGGGCATGAATGAAATGTTCATAGTTTGCGTAGAATAGACCCAAATCCCAACCCAACTTTAAGAATAGTTTAACAGCGATATTTTTGTATCGCCCGATAAGAGTCCTGTGTTAACGCAGCACATTAACGCCGATAATGGCACATTACACAACATATTAGTTTTATAAATGAAGGGAATATCCCTGAAAGAGTGGGCAAAAACTTGTCTAAGTGTGCAAAAAAGTTTTCCATGGACTGCTTTATGACAATTCAAAACTGGATTCATATCAAAATTTCATTTAAAGGATGTAGCAAAACCTACAATTTGTGTGAAAGATGCATGTACTTTTTAAATAAAGAATACTTGTTTGTTTTATTTGTTTACAGATAAAAAAGCCAGCTTCAATTCACTTGTGTTAAAAATCAGATCATCTTTCTCTCACGTGCAGAACTGTGTTTGTTCAGTGTGGTGTTGTATTAAACTGATCTGAATGAAACTGAACTGAACTTCAAGAGTGACTTTTTTTAATACACTAAACTGAATCAGTATTTATTTTAGTAAAACTAAAGTAGCATTCTACCACTACTTTTTTGCGAATGTTTCACAATCTTAAATATTGCTAAAGATTTTTTTTTCTCTTTTCCTTATCTATGTTAAGAAATAAAGATGGCTTAACTTGATTTGTTGTGGTTTATACACTAAACAGAACAGACTGTGTAGCTAAGCATTTGTTGAATACAGCAGTGCCACTTTTTAAATGTATAAATGTTTAAATGTATAAATGTTTGTTTGAATACATATTAAATTCATAATTGTGGGCTGCAATGATAAATTATATAAATGATTTCAGATTATGTCCTCCAAACGTGGAAACTAATACTTTATTTCAGTCATACAGGAAAAAGTCAGCAAAAGCATGAGGCTTGTTTGAGTGCTGTGTGTGAGCTGTGCTGGTCTTTCTACATTAAGAATGGGTCATTATCAGCTATTTGGGATGCAGGCTTAGAAAGGGGTGGGGTGAGCAGCACCTCATTAGCATTTAAAGCAGGGGTCACCAATCCTGGTCCTGGAGGGCCGGTGTCCCTCCAGGGTTTAGCTCCAACTTGCCTTTACACACCTGCCTGGGTGTTTCAAGTTAAAATCTGCAGGACACCGGCCCTCCAGGAACAAGTTTGGTGACCCCTGATTTAAAGAGACATGAAGCGATACAGCTTGCTGTGAACTGAGGGTTTTTTGACAGGGTAACAGGGTTGTTTATTTAACCTAGCATTAGGAAATGTAACCAAAAATGTTAAACAGACTTTTCAAAGTCCTACAGAATCTTATCAACTTGTGTAAAACAGACATCCAATGTCACGTTTAAGACATTTTAATCATTATCATGATCATCATAAATCATGATTTGTGTTGGGTTTGAGTTTATTGTGTCACTCACCTCAGTTGGAAGGCTCTGATTGGCTCCATGTTCAAGTAGATATTTCACCACTTCCAAGTGGTTCTCCTGTGCTGCCATGTACAGAGGACTAAAACCTTTCTGCAAAATGCAAAATTGACACCAAATGAATTCAGCATTTCATTAACATGTTACTAGTTTTGTTGTTTATGCTTTGGGGCATGGACTAACCTGAGACTGGGCATTAACGTTGGCACCATAATTGATCAGTTCTGCAACCACTTTCTCTTGACCGGCCAAAGCAGCAATATGAAGGGCTGTATTCCCTTTCTGCAAAACGAATAGAGGTGTACAAATAATAAAGAAACAAATATTAGAAAATAATTTGGACGCACTTTATTTTGATGGTCCGTTTGTTAAACTGTTACATTGCATCTATATGCCAACTAATTGTCATTATATTTTAAGTAGATTAGTTAAATGTCTGTTGAAGATGCAGTATCAACAGATATTAAGCAGACAGTCTACTAATACTCAAATGGACAATAAAAATAAAGTGTTACCAATAAAATTTATTTTATTTTTGCTCAAGTTACTTGGTCATTATAGTTATAAGAACTAAAAACATGACACAAAATACATTTTTGTTATTAATTAATATTTTTTTCAAAAAGGTATCAGTTTTAATAATGCTGGAGGAAGCCTGACTGACTGACTGATTGAAGAAGCAGATGTACCTTCGTCGTAGTCTCCAGGTCAATGCCATTGTGCAGCAGCTCCAGCACCATCTTAACATGGCCTTCTTTGGAGGCCAAATGCAACCCGTTAAGCCCATTCTGCGAGTACAAGAGAAAACATGAGGCGCTCAAAAACTCAGTGTGAAAAAAGCCCACTCTGACACATCTCAAGTCTATCTCTTTATCTCTCTCTCTCTCTCTCTGTGTCTACCTGTCAAATGACTCACTGAGAGGAGGGTAGCCTAAAAATAACCCAGTGAAGCGCTGAGACATCAACAGATCTGTGGAGCTCTCATTAAACAGGGTGTGGAAATGGAGCAGCGGAGGAAACCGACAGGAAGGTAAAGGCTGATGCACATGGTACAGTGTGTGCTTTTTGTCAGGAAATCTGGGAGTTTAGCCTGGTTTGGCCATAAGGGGGCTCTGCTCTGCCAGGCCGACTGGAATCCCCTTCATACTGCAGTGTCACTCATGCCTAATGAGCTCCTGCTGCAGATGCACAGAGCATGTGCAGAGGAGATGAAGGCAGAGATGAAGATGGAGAACGAGGAGGAGCAGATGAAAACAGCTACACGTGCACACTTGGCATTAATATTCTATGGATGTTGATATCACACAGTATTGAAAGCAATATAATATGCTATATGTGTATGAGCAATGCTGGGGTCATTAAAATGGCTACCTGCTAAAGATGACAATTTACATAAAGAAAAGTGTAGTTAGTAATGTAATCTATTCGATTACACATTTTGCAGGCTTTCTGCAGGTTTCACCAAGTCAAATTGAAAGACCTTTTCATGAATGAAATTTAAGACTTTCACATGGCAAAACGCTAAGGATTTTTTTTAATGGCCAGAGGAAATTTATTTTACTTGTGTCGAAGCAAACTCTTGTTATATACATATATTTACAGAACAACAAGTTTTAAAAACTATAATCAACTAAATTCATGCACAGCACACACTTATGCATAAATGCATAGAGAATGTTCAAACAAATGTTATTGTAAAAATGCAATGAAGATAATTAAACTATATCGGCATACAGAGTTAATAAATTGTACTTTTGTTAAACGATTTGGAGGACACTGTGGCTCAGTGGTTGGCACTCGCCTAACAGCAAGAAGGTCGCTGATTCGAGTCCCGTCCTGTGGACAACTGGGCCAGTTGTTATTTCTGTGTGGAGTTTACATGTTCTCCCGATGTTGGCATGGGTTTTGATGTCTGAGTGGGTGTTTCCTACTGGTTTGCAACTGAAAGGGCATCCGCCGTGTGAAACATATGCTGGATAAGTTAACGGTTCATTCCGCTGTGACGACCCCTGATAAATAAAGGGACTAAGCTGAAGAAAAATGAATGAATAAACGATTGGGTAGCTGTACATGGACAAAGGAAAATGAAGACATGTTTAAAAGTATTTAAGACCTATAGCATCATAATTCTGTAAATTTAAGACCTTTTAAGGCCTAAAATCTTGTTTTTGAAATTTAAGACATTTTAATACTTTTTAAGAACCTGCGGTTCATAATATTTCACTAGATATTTTTCAAGACACTTCTATACAGCTTAATTAGACATTTAAAGGCTTAACTAGGTTAATTAGGTTAACAGGTTAGGGTAATTAAGCAAATTATTGTATAACAATGGTTTGTTCTGTAGATTATCAAAAAAATATATAGCTTAAAGGGGCTAATAATTTTGACCTTAAAATGTTTTTAAAAAATTAAAAACTGCTTTTATTCTGGCAAAATTAAAACAAGTAATACTTTCTCCAGAAGAAAAAATTTTATCAGACATACTGTGGAAATTTCCTTGGTCTGTTTAACATCATTTAAGAAATATTTTAAAAAGAAGAAAAAAATCAAAAGGGGCCAACTGTATATAATATTCAACCAATATACAAAGAGAATGAACCTAATTCTAGGGTTTGTCTACAATATAAAGTGTATTACACATCTAATTATATCAAAACGGGATTTTTGAAGGACTTGTTGGCTTGTGTTGATTTCATAAAAGTTCATGAAAAAAAAACATTAAAACATATATCATGGTTTCCACAAAATGATTAAACAATATTTACAGATACTGTAATACGTACATTTTCACCAAATTAGAATATTGAAAATTATTGGTGAAAGATCATGTGACAATAAAGACAGAAAATTACAGTTTTTAAAGTATGCTATTTTAAATTGTATTAATATGTTTTATCATTACTGTTTTAACTGTACTGTTAGGCAAACAAGTGTATATATTATTATTTATAGCATAAGGTACTGCTATATTAAATAAATAACTCAAAAATAGCCAATTCTGCTATCATTTAATACAAAGAAAAGGTCTTATTTACTAGAAGGACATTGCTTTATTACTTTCAGTTAATGAGACATAGATTTTGAAGAAAATCTGGTCATTAAAAAACTAAGACAATGAAGTGTTCAAGCTTCAAAAAGAAAAATAACCACATTTATGTCCAAAATCAAACATAAAGTACCCTCTTTGGGTAAGGGATTCATCAGAATAAACAGCAAAAATTCAACCTTTATTGACATTTTTTCCCACATTTTTCGACTGCCTTGGACTGATTTTTGCTGTTTAATCACATTTATGTATTTGGTAGATTTGACTTTCAATGAACAGTCTTCATTTTCATTCTTTTCCACAGAAACAACCATGTGAAAAAAGTCTTCAAAAAAGAGGGAGATTATTTTGATTTATTGTGCAGACAGAAGAATTAAATCTAATTGGTATAAGCTATATCATCATTAGATGTTAACACATGAAAAGACTTAATAGCACTAGCGCTGTTTACAGCCGTTAGTTAGTCACCTGTAAAATAAAGACAAATTACAAGGACGAGACCATCAATTGTCTAAAAAAAATCTCATTAACCATTACCTCCTTTGAGCTAAGGTGCAAATTAAGCACACGCCCGGAGGTTTTGCTGATTCTTGAAACTTCAAGTCCCAAAGCATCCGTGCCGAGGGCTTTAATCCGTCTCACTGTCAAACCCGGTCTAAGCTCCTCACAGAATGTGTTGCGACAGCACTGAGACATTCACGCTGTGATATCAGCATCACGCAGCGCAAGTATACCTTCAGTTTACCCAAACACGTAACTATAAAAACGCACGCAAATCCAGTCTGGGTTGCAGATCGCAGACCGAGACAGACTCCTGATGGAATTCTGTCAGTGCATGATGTTAGAAGGTTGCTGTAGTAGTCAATGTGTGTGTGTGGCTGTGAGTATATAGAGTGGGTGTTCATTTTCAGAGCTTTTCAATGCGGGAAGTCAGCCAAGCGCTCAGGTCCATTCACTAACCCGTCTCTGTGAAACCAAACATAGAGCGTCTGCAAATACCACAATATGCTATTTAAAGCCAGCAGCACCGAGTGTGTTATGATGCAAGTGGGTGCAAAAGCATGACCGGTGAGGGGGTTAGAGGAGGAAGACTGTGCTGGCGTGATTAATTACGGCAATTTACTGATTAGGGCATTGAACACAGCTCTGCATTGACACTGTAAACACAGCTGTAGTGTCCAAGCACAGGAGCATTGGGGGGTTAATACAGACACAAAAACATACTGGAACAGACAAACAAATACATGCACAGATGCGGATGCTGATCTACAAGATGATGGATGAATAGCTCTAAATAGCCATTTCTGAATTTAGGCAGTACTATTAATGGGCTTCAAAGTGACTCTGGGCTTTTAAGGCACGGGTGTGAGTCCACAGACCGCTGGCTGAACGTCTGATGTACGAAACAGACAAAACGGAAAACGCTTCAGAAGTTGTTATCTTTGAATTCTGCAGGAGTTATTTGAGATGTGTGTGGTGTGTTGTTTAAAGGGATAGTTCACCCAAAAAACGAAAACTGTCTCACTATTTACTTACATTCAGTGGTTCTAAATGTTATGATCAGGGTTTCTGCAGGTTTCTTCAGGTTAAATTTAAGACTTTTTAGGACCATTATGAATAAAATTTTAGACTTATACAGGGCTAAACATTAAGGATTTTTTTTTCTAATGACCGGTTACTTTTGTAAATGGTGTTTGCATTAATGGAAGATCAAGTAAAGGGATGTCTTGCTTTCGTTTTCTTACTCTTCAATTTGGAGAATTTGCAGAGTTCATACTGAAGAGTTCATCCAAAACTTAAAATTATCTCTTTATTCACTTGTTCCAATCCTGTTTGTCTTTTTTTTAACACATAAGAAGACATTTAGAAAAAAAAATGGATACCAGTAACCACTGACATCCATAGTATAAAAAAGCACTGCAGTGTTTGGGTGTTATTCTGTTTGTCTGAGGTAGTCTACCGAAATGTTGTGTTCCAGACAAAGTATGAAGCTGAACAGTCAGTTTTTGTCACGTGACTCGCGGTTTTCGACTGCGCATGCTTGCATGAAAGCAATATGTGCTCTCAATATGAGTGCACGCGCTAAAAGAAGCATCATGTGAACGACCCTATGAGCAGCTATGCTTCTCTTTACATTCAAAAGATACTGTTAGATACTGTTTAGGCCAAGTTGGGTCACTGTGTTTTTGGGTGGTGGTGTTCTCCTTGGGTATTGTCGTAGAATGCTTTCTATTCAAGTGCTTGAAAAAGTTGCTGCAGTTAAAAGCAGTCGAGTTCTTTAGAGACTGGACAAAGACTGCATTTCACAGCAGTATTTTTGTTTTTACGCTCAATGAAATCCAAGTAATGTCTGTATTTACACTTATAGAAGCAACCACTCTCGTCAGCAGCTATTTCAGCTCGCGCTCTTCAGTAATTTTAAAGTGCGAAAAACGTTTTTTAAAAGAAGCATTTTTTGTTTCTAAAAACTATATTTGCAATGCAATTAGCGCAATTACACTGACTTTGCGGTCCTCAAAAATGTAATTAAAATAAAGCAACGCTGTGGAACGCATTACACCCAACTCTGGTTATGACTGACTGTTGTAAAAATTCCCTCATAATATATTATTTAATGTCATCTTATTTATTTATTTAAGTTATTTAGTTATATGTTTAAAAAATAATAGAAGGCACACAGTGGACTCCAGACCTGGCTTATAAACCCTTTAAGTTTAGATAAAGATTTTTTCTATAGCCTAAAACAATAATTCAGCATCTAGGTTTTTGGGGGGATTTTCTACTGCTTCAGTATTTATTGTGTGTTCAACATAAGAAACAAACTCAAACAGGTTTGGAACAAGTTGTGCATGAGTAAATGATGGCAGAATTTTATATTTCGGCTGAACAAAATTACATTTGATCTTTTAACATAAAAGTCATTGTGATAAACAATCCAGATAGCACTAGTTAAGAATCAACTAAATGCTTGTTTTAACACTGTGACATAAACAGCCTAAACTCTTATAAAGATATCCGTAAGTTTAGCTTGAAACACTTATAGTGTAGATGAAATATACTGTATAAGCTATACAGGAAAGGTCAGTAAGAGAGCAAGCTGACTGTGCATCTGCATTCTACACATGTATGGATACCTATTTTAAGCACATTGCTATGGAGTTGCTTGGATATTTTGGATGGTTGCTAGGTTTTTTCCTCCTACATACTGTAAACCCAATGAATTAGTGCCCATCCACTTTTTTCAGCCACATTAGTTGCAGAAGGATTGTTTTCATTCATTCTTTATGATGCATTTTAGCCATGAACCAATTCAGCAAGCTATAAGGTGAATTAAAAAATGAAAAAGTTGGACAAAAAGACAATGATACAAGATGATCCCTTTAGTGAGGGATTTATACTGTAAAAAAATCAGTTATTCTGGTTTACCCATTTTTTAGTTATACAAACTTTAACTTAATATTTTTAGTCAGTATTGCTATAAAAAAGGCCATTATAGATTCAACTAAAAATATTTAGGCAGAAATCCTTTTTTAAAATGTAACTATAATGTCCTAAAACATTGCAAATTGCATAATTAAATCTAAAAACAAAACAAAAAACTATTCAAATTAAATGACTCAGTTAAACTACTTATTTAAAAACTATTTAAAGTATTAACACTACTTTTTCGAAAACGTATATGAAATATTAAAGCAGACTGGTGGCATTTTCTCTTTTAGCATATAGCAATAAAGTTTTTTGCCACAAATTCCACAAATGAATTGAAATATTATGAGTATTTGGGTTTAACAAAGCCATTTACATTTAATTAAAAACTAATTAGCAATAGGTCTTTAACCCCTTAGCCCTCTAAGACTTGGGACTGTATTTCAAAGCATACTGTACATTAATCACACATATTTAAGTCGAGTTGCATTTTCATATCTATGTTTAAATTTAGAATGACAGTTAATAGGTTAAATACAGATTACAAATGTTAAAACTAAATAAATTCATAAAGTTTATACTCCCAAACTTTACAATTATATAAATAAAACCCTTTTTCCATCACATAAATTACTTCAAAAATACTTTATAATATTTGTAGCAATTATAGTAATAATAATATCTTTAATCTTATGAAATCATGAGAATAACACTCACACACACACTGGATGCTGGTGATTGCAGGATGGATTTTATTCCTCACCTGATTGGCTATGTTGATGTCTATTCCATTCTTGATATGGTCCAGAGCCTTTTCCAGATTACCTGAGCGTGCAGCACGGAGGAAACTGGTCGTTGCGTCCGCCTGAGGGGAAGAGAGAGAAGAAAAGGACATAAATCCAAATCTGAAGGACATGGACTGTTAAATTGCAACACTTTCTTTTTTGCGCAAGGTTTTATGGATGTTTAGTGCATGATAAAACATTAGTGATACAGTCTGACTTACAGCTCTAATTAAGAATTCAATCTGCGCTGTGCATGTCCACAGAAATAAAAGAAAAGAGTTTCTGGTTTGAGCTGGTTCAAGGGTCACATACAATAACAGCAACCTATCAGTTATGCAATTACCCTATGTGAAGTCATCTAATTTGATGTTAATTACATGGCTGAGTTTGCCCCTAATACATATCAGCATTTGATTTAAAACTCCAACAAAAAAAAGTCCAACATTTAAAAATATGATTGTTTTTCTTGTGCATTTAGTAAAGTAAGCAGTTTTTACTGTGGGTTAGTTCACAAAAATAAACAGTTTCTCACTACATGAAAGGTCAGTAAGAGAGCAAGCTGACTGTGCATCTGCATTCTACACATGTTCACCACTGATCACTTACACACAGCTGAATACACCAGCTGTACTGAATCTTTATTTCCCGTCACTTGTGTTTGTCTTGTTTAAGTTTTCTTGCTTTGTTTCTGATCATTGTTTTGATATATTTTGATTTTTGATTGCCGCCTTGTTTTTTTACCTTACACCAGTTTTGACTACAATTTTGGATGCCCTGTTATGTACCCGAGATTTACTTGTTTTGACCACTTGTATGCTTGCATGAAGAATCTTCATTATAAAACACTTGGATCCTACCTTGGTTGTTTTGGCCTCGTCCCCACACGTCACAGTTGATAACTGGTAGCCAGAGACTTTCATAGTATTTTTTCTTACCATGGAAGTCAATGAATACTGATTATTATCATCATATTTCAAAATATATTCTTTTGTTTTATCATTTTAGAAAAAGTGTGACTAAATGATGACAGAATATTATTTTGGGGGGTGAACTGTAGTTAAAAGCTCGACAGCAGTGTGGAGGCGGATCTATTTCTTTGTCAAACCAATGGCAGACTGACATAGTTTGTTTTAGAGACATGAGAAAACAGTCATTGTTTATTTTTGTAAATGTATTTGGTAAAAAAAAAAATTTATGTCATATACACAGAAAATTCCAGCATCTTCACAACCATCTATCAAAATAATGTTTGCTTTAACTGTAAATTTGTGACAGAATTATAAACTGATAAACAGAACAATATTAGTGAAATTAAATAATAATGATAATAATAATAATGAAAATTATATATATATATATATATATATATATATATATATATATATATATATATATATATATATATAATAACGTAATATATTAATATAATAATAACAGTTTTATTAAAATTATAAGTTTTATATATAAAATAATAAATGCTCTATATATATTTGTATTTAGCTGGAATAATAAGAAAAAAGTGAGCTAAATATAAAGGAAAACAAATTAAAAACAAATGTTTTTTAAAACAAATTAAAAAGTTAAATAAATTATTAAAAAAAAAAACAAACTCAAACCAAAGCAGAAAACCAATGAAAAAATATGAAAAAAAAAGAAGTGAAAAGACCACAATAAAAAACAATTCATTTATACTCCAAACCACTAATTTTGGAGGAATTCTAGCAAACATTGAACAAAACAAAAATGAAACAATGTTTGTCCTGCAGGGAACAGGAATGCTAGATAATTATTATTAAGTCTTCCTATTCCAAAAAGGTAACTAAAAGAGAAGTTCAGATATTATAATTTATTTTACAGGTTTACTAAAAATAAAATATTTATTAAACTCTTAATAAATTTGATGTTTATGCTTTACTAAAACGCATTAAAAAATGAAATAGTCCTCAAAAATACAATAAAAAAGAGATTTCAGTAAAATGTAAATTGTAAAGGAGTGGAATTAAAATGAACAATACAAAAGATAAATAAACAGACATAGCAGGGCTCTATTTATACCGTACAAAGTAAAACAAAACAGGTAAAATAGCAAATATTTTTGTGTCATGCAAGCTATGCAGAACACATACATTAATGTTCACTGTTGTTCCTTTCATCTATCATCGGTGCCTGTTTCTTTTCTCTCTCTCTTTCTCTCTCTCAGTCTGCATATCTACATACAGCGTTCCTCTTGATCTTGGCTGTTCTTTTCTCAGTGGAATAACTAAAAGCCTCAATACCTACTGTTCCCAACCTTCGCTTTGGTCTTTCTCTCTCCCTTTCGAAAAATTTCAAGCATACAACTCAACATCGCCGTGTTCAATTTGCACCTTCGACTCCCATTTCTGCTGCTCTATCTAAAAATCCATCAGTGATATTTTGTGGTTTTCCATCCAATGACTAATGCAGTTTGCTCTGATGTGGTCACAGTTCTATTGAGTCCTTAAATTGATTTGTCAGATTCTCTGCAGTCTCGAAATTTCAGATTGTCTCTGCCATGCTATTCAGTGGGAATGATTGACAGGCCGGTCGCCCATTCAGTGGGAGATGAGGACAGAATACTGAATGAGGAGAAAGAAGTCATTCTGCACCTTCATTTGCTCAGTCTTTAGGTGACGGCATTGAAAAAAATCCATCAGTCATCATGACAGTGCAGTTATAGTCTGCGCGTGTGTGCCATCATCTTATACTCAAACAATTGGTCAATCACTTGAGGATCTTAATTGATTTCATTTCGGGACAGGAATCAATTTCTTCTCTACAGTCCTGTTGAAAAGGCATTCGTTAGTGATCATTATTTGCAATCAACCTGCTGAATAGAGGCTCACTCATTCACTGCCACAAATATGCTTATACCAATGGTCTCAAACTCGATTCCCGGAGGGCCACAGCTCTGCAGAGTTTAGCTCCAACCACCTCCAACTCATACCTGCTTAATAGTCTCTACACTTCCATACTATGTAGTACGTTAAAAATGCGAGCTGAGTAGTATGTCCGCATTCATAGTATTCGAAAAACAGTAGCGATAATGGAAGTAAAGCGATGCAATTTACATGGGTAGGTCACATGATAATGACAAATAGCAGATGTAGTCTGTTAAAGCTCCATTCATACTACATACATCAGATGCGTGTGTTCATGACAATCTACATAAACAATAGTAGAATAAAATAAGACAATATCAGTTTGTATCTTCAAGCCTACTTCAATAACAAGCTGTTTTTAACGTCCAAAAATCAATGGAAGTGACTGTGATCGAAATTCTCAAGCCAAAAAGATTTCAATGTCTGTGCCTGGTCGTATGGGAAGAGGAAGGTCAATATAATACGTTAAAAAAAGTATGCAAGCTGTGTCATATGTCTGAATTCATAGTATTAATTTGAAAAACAGTAGGCAAGAAGTAACCGGATGATCTGCTACTTCTGGAAAGATTCTGAAGTACACATTCGATAGATGCTATACTATCCCATGAGGCCACGAGAGAGAAATCATCAATGAAAATAAGGTGACGCAACTGACATGGGTGGGTCACGTAATAATGACAAATGGCAGATGTAGTCTGTACGAGCTACATTTATACTAATCACATTCATATGACCTTATTCTACAATGCAGAAGTGCGCTCGTTTTTACGATGTTTTTAGAACTTCCGATTCCGTTGACTATTGTAAGAAATGACTAGGAACGATAAATTACAGAAAACTGTCAAACTACTTGCTCTACAAACAAGTGTGTTCATGACTAAATACATAAAAAGTAGAATAATTTTATAAGGTAATATCAGCTTGCAACATCAAGCAGCATAACAAGCTGTTTTTAACATCCAAAAATCAATGAAGTGATTGAGATCGAAAGTCTCGAGCCAAAAAGATTCCAATGGCTGCACCTGCTCGTACGGGAAGAATAAGGTCAATATAGAACGTATTATTCCAGTGGTCATGTAGTGAATTCTAATTTAATTGTAGTACAGAAGTAGGCAATTTTGGACGCAAACTAGTAGTCTTTAACACCTTGATTAATGGATCAGCTGTGTTTGATTAGGGTTGGAGCAAAACTGTGCAGAGCTGTGGTTCTCCAGGAATCACGTTTGAGACTATTGCTTATACTGATGTTTTTCTTTCATGTTATTTGCTAATACGTTGACAGACACATACATATCATATCATCGTCAGTAGAATGCCTGTTGGTTCAATCAAAACAAACTGTTAGCAAATATGAAATAGTAATAACTGGTATAGTAAACATGCAGATGCAAAGTTACTTTTCTAGATTTTTCCTGTCATATGCTTTGTTGAAATTCTTATGAAATTACAGAATTTTCATGAAAATGCCAATAAACATTATTATATGTTTTAAAAAAAACTGGGTATAATGAGATGGCTTTATTCTCCTAAAGTTTTACCCATCAAATATTAAAAAAAGCAAATTGCTAACAGCAGATCATGAACAAGCTCAAAAACTTGAGACGAGTCATTTTGGTGTCCTCATTGATAGTCGCCTATCAGTCATTGCCTCTAGTTTCTTTCAGCTTTGTTCACTCTCCAAAATATAAATTTTCTTTGTCCTAAAAGTCTTATGAGACAGTTATCCACTAGTGTTTTAATTATTGGAATTCCTTATTTTGTGATATCCCCAAATCGCTGGTAACTCGATTTTTGATTCAAAATGATTGAGCTAAATTTCTTTAAAATGGTTAGATATGACCCCCATTTTACAAGTCCTCTACTGGCAATATTTTTTTGTGTTTTAATGTCTACACAATCTTGCTTCAAAATGCCTCATTTGCTATGTCCAAATAACCCTGGTAAAAGTTTAAGATCTAGTAACTAGCAACTTATTGACAACCACTTGCTTCAGGTTGAAATGCTGTAAGGTACTAAGCCTTTTGGTGGTAGGACATTTTAGAATAGGCACATCTGTTTTTGATTTCTCCTTGAAACTCATTTGATTTCCTTAGCCTTCAACATGTACATTTGTTGATTTTCATTTCTGCTTTAAACAGTGTGTGACCATTTTACGTATATTGAGCAGCCTATTTTAGTTTGGATTTTATATTGGACTTATTATTTTCATCATGTAAAGCACTTTAATCCGCCTCTCGGATGTATTGAAAGTGTTTAAAAATAAATAAAATGAAAATGGATGGTTTATACAAAAATGAAAATTAAATAACTGAGAAAAAACCCAGAAGTAGTTCAAAGCCCTGTTGCTCACAAAAGTAAGATATTTTGAAGAAAGCTAAACACATCTAACCATTGACATCCATAATAAGAAAAACAAATAATATGGAAGTCAATAATTGCAGGTTTCCAGCTTTCTTTAGAAATCTTCTTTTGTGTTCAACAGAAGAAGGTCAAACTAAAGAAAGTAAATTATGACAGAATTTTCATTTCTGGATGAAATATCCCTTTAAATTATTAACAATTGATGAACAATATTGCAGACATATATTATTGTACATACAGTAAATAAAGCATAAAACCAAAGAAGCTCTCACTCAGAACCATATTATCAGAAGACATTTGTTTCAGTTCTTCTGAATAAACGCTCCCCCCAACTAAATAAAATCAATATTATCTATTCGGCTAACATATTTAAGCTGGACATTGTCGATGAATGTTCCTCAAACATTTCAAGTTGGTCATTCTATAAATTGTGTGATGTTCAGAGTTGTTATTCGTCTTACTTATTTGACAGTTCCTGAACAACTTTGAGATGTGTTTTGGGTCATTATCCTCCTGAGAAATGAATGTCCAGTTTAAGCATAATTCTGATGGATTGACTTGTCTTTGAAGTACTGAAAAGGACACGCTGGTTGATCCTGTCATGAACTTGGCACTAAACTATCATCTGCATGAAATTGGCATGAAACCCCAGATCATGACACTGTTTTCCTCAAGCTTGATAATGTGAACAAGTTTTCAATACCTGGAGACAAATATTGAGATATCAAAGCAATTATTCAGAGAATGTTAATGTGTTAGCTAAAATTAATTGATTTGCTTTTGAATGGTGAGCATGTGCGTACATTTTCTGTATTTTATTTTTCTAAGTTTTTAATACATTTATATTGTTTCATATAATCTCATTTTTCCCTTTGTAATCTCCGTAGTACATCTGCTGATACTGTAAATGACATTCTGACAAATATCAGCAATCAGTGGCCACAGCAGGGGGTTGATCCCTGTGCAAGCTTTTATCGCCAAACCATCTGATACACATACAAACAAACACACACTAAACAAAACACACAGAATCTCACGTTAGGAATACAAAATCACACACACAAAAAGCCATTTAGAATGAGAGGAAGATGAAGAAACACTACAGGAACTAGCGGAGCTAACTAAAGCTATTAGCCACAACACGACATTCAAACACGGGAACTTGTCACTAGAGCTACACAACAACCACAAGAGTACCACACACAGAAACGTTCACGAAGCCACACCAACACACGATTGTCCAGAAAGAAGAAAGTAAAGCACTGAGAGGCAGTACTAAGATATTTACTCTTCCATCAAAGTGCCATTTTCCACCTTGCGTCTCCGACGAACCCTCTGCACTCAAACTACTGTCCTGATGTACAAGCCAGCGCTGAACCACATGAGCCTAGAAGACACCAACACCACAAAGACAGAGCCAGTTAATACACACACACACATCAGACACACATGAACACATATGGGCAGGTGAAAACACCAAATCTTGCATGGTCAAGGTTGTGGAAACACATATAGATCGTGAAATGCTCCATTAAAGGACTAACGTGGAACTTCATCCTGAAGAATGATCACAATCTGCTTGAAGGGTTGGTTGACACCAAAATGACAGTGCTGTCAGCATTTACTCACCCTCAAGTCATTTCAAGAACCTTTGGAACGTCTTTGGAACACAAATGAAGATATATTGAAAGATATCTGAGAGTTTTTTCGTCCAAAGCAAACTCTGAAGCTTCAAAACATTTCATTTTACAGAAAAAAACACTTCATGCTGTACAGCTACAGATGTCACCACTTCAAAATGTTCCCTCTGCCGCCATTCTTAAAACCACCACAGAGTTACCTACTTGCGCCAGAAGCTTTAGGCCGGTGGGTGGCACTTTAACCATAGATTTTCAGCTTTACCTTTTCACAATGCTAGATAGAACAGTACATTATTGTATGTGTACTGTACCTTATGTGATGTGTTCAATTAAAATATAATTTAGTTTGTTCGTTTTAGTTGTCTTAGTAATAAACATGCTTTATACTAAACTGTATGTTTTAGAAAAGAAACAACACATGGTGAGAAGTATAGCCCTGGGCTGCAAAAATTAACCAAATACAAGAATATAAGTTTTTTAGCCTCTTTATTAAACTGCATTGGGGTGAAAGAATGTTTGGATTTCTTTGACCATCATGGCGATGGTATTACCTCAAATCTTAAACGTGCGTACATTTAAGAATTACTTTCAAATCCACATGTCATACATGGTTTTGGGACATTTTCATGTAAAAAAAAAATGGTGATTTTATGACCAAATGGGTTTAATGCAGTATAAATCTTATTAAACCATATTTTATGAGGGTTTCACATGTGTGTTAAATGAATAGATGAATGGATTGGTTGATGAATGAATCAGCTGATGATGGAATGATTGATTCGTTAATTGATTGATGAATGGGCTGATAGATGAATGAATTGATGATGGAATCAATTAATAGATTGATGATGAGATGAATCAATCAATCAATCAACAAAGCTGTTTACTCCAACTTTCTGAAGAGACATGATCACTTTATATTAGGGGTGAGGGAAAATAGCAATACATTATTGTATTGCAATCTGTGGCAATACTATATCGATACACTTTTTATCGATATATCACCAGTTTTTTTATATTATTTAATGAAATATTAAGATCTAATTAATATTACATCATTTTTCTTGACAGTCCACTAGATCAGTGTTTCTCAATCATGTTGAGACATTTTCCATGGCTGCGTTCGAAATCGCTTACTACTCAGTAGGCACTGCGTTTGAATTTAAACATACTACTCGGCTGTTAGAAAAGTATGTTCTATAGAATATGAATGTGAGTAGTATGAGTGGTACTCGGATGTTCTAGATCCACCTTTGTCATGATCCTGTGACCTACCCACGTCAGTTGCGTCGCTTTGTGAAGTTTAGTTTTAAACTAATTTCGAGAGGAGCATGTGCTCATGATTTACCCAGCTGGTCCACATTAACTAATTATGATCCTCCAATCGAAGGATCCCAAATCACTATATATATCCTCATTTCCTTTCTACAACTATCTTCGTCTGGAAGAAACCCCCCTCCTCCCCTTCTTCCTCCTTTATCCAGAATGGGCGGCACGGTGGCCCAGTGACTAGCACTGTTGCCTCACAGCAAGAATACCAATGGTGTTGGGTCCTCGCTGAGCCATCTGGTATTTCTGTGTGGAGTTTGCATGTTCTCCCCGTGTCCGCGTGTGTTTCCCCCGGGTTCCCCGGTTTCCTCCCACCATCCAAATGTGCTCTATATTATAGATAAAACAAGCCTAAACCTTTTTTATAATGTCTTACTCTCAGGAAGTTTGCCTTGGCCTCATCAGCGGGGGAGTTTGAGATAGACCTGAGCTCAATCTCCACTCGCCCTGCAAAAGGGGGGGAGCCCTGGGCTCGAGGATCCCTTGAGCTCAGGGCTCTCTCCCGGGACAGCATGCCAAACAAGCTATGTATAAATCATGAGCTAAGTGTGAACTCTTGAAACACCCATTCATAAATTCTCTCACGGTTCATCATGGGATAGCTTAGCGCCCATCCAAAGCGCACTTCAGAATCTAGCTGGAAGTAGTAAGCCATTCGGGTATTTCTCACATACTGTTTTTCGAATTCTTTGAATTCAGACTCGTATCCTGTTTTTAGCATACTATTATAGTATGATAGTATGCGATTTCGGATGCAGCTCATGTCTTCTTAACCAAACACACCTGATTCAGATCATCAGTAGAGACTGTTGTTTAGGTAAAAGTGCCAATGTTTTCCTTTAAGGACATTATATGATGCCGGTACAGAATATCGTAATATATTTAAAATGACAAAAAAATTGATGCAAGTACAGTATCCTGATAATAATGTATCGCTGTGATTCCTTGAGACTTGACTGTTTTTTGCAGAAATGCAAATGTACTTATCAACATGTAAAAATGAACCTGTTTGTTCACATGTACTGACATGATTCACATGAATTAAACTAATTTATTTTAGAGTCCTAACTTATTTTATGTTACAGTCCTATTTGTATATACTGTATTATGTACTGATATTAATTTTGCAACCAATTTATGTACCTTTTAAAAGCCAGTTTAAGTACACTGCAACATCATAAGTAAACATACTGTAAATTAAAATGCAATCAACATATCCATGAACGGCACTTTCTGAAGGGGACACCAGTTGTAGGTGTATTCCAAACACAAGTGAACATCTGACTCTCTTCACAAAGGGCCTTTCCTGAAATCTGTGAAGTGTACAGTTGAAGTCAGAACTATTAGCCCCCCTGAATTATTAGACCGCTTGTTTATTTTTTCCGCAATTTCTGTTTAATGGAGAGAAGATTTTTTTCAACACATTTCTAAACATAATAGTTTTAATAACTCATTTCTAATAACTGATTTATTTTATCTTTGCCATGATGACAGTAAATAATATTTGACTAGATATTTTTCAAAACACTTCTATACAGCTTAAAGTGACATTTAAAGGCTTAACTAGGCTAATTAGTTTATAGGCAGGTTAGGGTAATTCGGCAAGTTATTGTATAACGATGGTTTGTTCTGTAGATTATCGAAAAAAATATAGCTTAAAGGGGATAATAATTTTGACCTTAAAATAGATTTGAAAAATTGAAAAACTGCTTTTATTCTAGCCAAAATAAAGCAAATAAGATTTTCTCCGGAAGAAAAAATATTATCAGACATACTGTGAAAATTTTCTTGCTCTGTTAAACATCATTTGGAAAATATTTTAAAAAGAAGAAAAAAATTTGAAGGGGGCTAATAATTTTGATTTCAACTGTATGTGTCATCGTCAATTTTGTTGTAATATATTTCACACATTTCATCATGCATTTCATATGAATTTCACATAATCTTCAAATGTAGTAAATGTGTTTAATAGTAGATAGATACATTAGTCAACCATACAGGCTTCAAAGAAACCCTGTTCCTTCAGAAGACTTGGATTAAACCACTCAACTTATGTTGATACATTTTAATGTGGATTTTATTCGAAATATCTTCGACTCCATTTTGAAGATGAACAAATATGGGTTTGGATCGACATGAGGGGTGAGTAAATGATGATTGAATCTTTATTTCACAGTGAACTAACCCTTTAAATGCTTTCAGTCATTTTGAATGTAACAAAAATTAAGCTAACAAAACAGCACTATTACATTTGCAAATCAAATACAAGAGGGAGAATTACACAACAACGTCACATTTTTATTTCAATCTTGAGAGGGTGAATGCAGAAACCCAGTCGCATTAAAGGGATTCCAGCTCTGGGTGCACTCCAAGACTGGTTGCTAAGCAGTTGCTAAGAGAGCGATGACATCATTTTCAACATTCACAGAAGCCTGTGAGTGTGGCATCTATTGATGCGGGTACCACGCTGACTCCCAGCACATGAAGATGCGGAGAGCAAAACAAATTCTGTGACCTAAATTGTTCTGGATTTCTGTTCACATAAACCCACATAATATGAGTGACATATTGCTATTTATTGCATGCAGTGAATATCCAATAAAAAGCAAATATATTATGCCTGGTGGTTATCTTTCCGCACAGCACAGTTTATGTGACAAAATAATATGTATTTTACTGCAACACACTGAAATAATCATAATCCTACACTAAAGTAGATGTTATACTGTGTATTAGGGATGCAACAAGTTAGCCCATGGTTCAATACATACCTCGGTTTTTTAACACGGTTTTCAGTTTGGTTCGGTTCTCATGGCTTGACGTGTGTTTTTTTATTTTTTATTCTATAGGCAATAGGAACAGTAAGAGGTTAGGGAGAAAAAAATAAAAACGGTTTATTGCAATATTCATTTTGTTTTACTTAAAAGTCAAGAAAAGTGCACTTGTTCCTAGTGTATTGTATAAAAAAAATTAACAGAGAAATCTCACAGCAGCTGGTAGCCGATGTACAAACTGGGGAACACATAAAATCCAACCCTTTGAAAATAAACATACTTGTTAAGTTAATAAAGATAAATTGGCCATTTCATATAAACATATTTGTACTTAAGTAAACATAAATAAACCATCCTAATTATCTTGGTGCTAAAAAAAATGCGAGACTGTATTCTGTAACTACCTTTTTTCTTTTATTAGCATTATACTTACCGGCAAAACCAAAATGTCCTCACACCGCAGATTTGAAAGACGTCGGCGCTTCCATGTACTGTTGCCTCACTTCACCGCCGCTCGCAATGTTAAAGTGTGGAATGACGGTCAAGCGCCCCCAACTTTGGAGCATAGTGATTGGATATTTATTCGCGGGGAGGAATTTCCTCATCTTATCTTATGGAGTTACAGGCACACACAGCCAATTCAG